ATGCCAATCTATGCATCTATCATTATCCTTTTTTGCATATTTAGGACGTAAAACTGAGTTTGTGAGTTAATCATCAGTAAACTGTAGGCAAAGCTGAAGGGCTTACATTTGTCACAGTCATGAGACAGAAGTTAAATTCAGATGGGAACATACACATCACTAATAAGTCTTTGCTATCACAGCTGTGACAGTGAGACACCCTAAGAGACAGATGGCCAATGGGTCACAATCTGAGCTTATAAATATACTGCAGGCCAGAACAGCACATGCAGAAAAACAATGAATATAGACATAAAATAGTCTGCTGCTGACGCATAAGAAGTAGCTTGCCAAAATGTCACATATTATTTTACTGGATTGGGCAACAAACAAAAACATCTTCCACTTTAACCTTTGCATGCAGTGCACAACTCAAAACAAAAAACACTTGCATTAAGGCTTTGACGGATGCAGGGTTTCATTTTCTGACGGAGTGGTAAGTCTGCCAATTCACCACTGAAGCTCTCCCCTGCAGCTGACAAGCAGAGGTGAGGCATCACATAAGATGGAAAAATAAGATGTTGTGTAAGTTTATCCTTGGCATATTTGCAAATATTGGTCTGATTTCTGCATGGCAAACAAACAAACATGTTTTTTAATCAGTGTGGGATGATTTATTGTGACGCAAATTTTAAAATACTGTGGGGAAATGTCCTTAAACCGCAAAAGAGTGTTTTCAAATATGAATGGACATGACCAGATGCCTGTAGCCTCAAAAAATAAATCATAAATATTCTGGAGCGGTCCGATAGAAACCAACGAAATGCGTTCATCCCCCCTCGAACCAATGGGATGCGTTCCCCCTCCTGCTTTTCGTCAGTGTGCGCACTTGAGTGGTTTTTGAGTGTCGGATTTTCTTAAACACCTAAAATGGCGGAACAGAAAGAGCGAATTTCACCCACTTGCCCTGTTGCCCTGGCAAAGAAAAAGAAAATTAGATGAGGAAAAGGCATCTCGGAACACAACAAGGGCGAAAACCTCAACATCGGGACATCCTACAGACATGCAACTGCTAAGCTAAGCTGAATCCTTTAGTGCACCTTTAAGATTGATGCGTATATTATAGGTTTAGAGAAGTAAAATGTGAGAGTAGTATGCGAGTCTTTCTGACTTACTTTTTGCTTGAATTTCTCATAATGTGGTCTGGTCTTTACTCACATGAAAAAATAGACAAAGTCTACACATAGTCTGGTAAAACTAGTACCGGCCAAACAATTATATGTTTTCATTTGTTATATTGAAAAAAACATGAATGGAAAAGTTATGCAATTAGACAACCTTGGTGTGTATTTTCTGATTTACAATTTTACAGTAGAAGTGGCTCAAAAGAACTAACATTAATAAATGTTGTATACAAAAAGTTGGAACAAGTGTGTAACAGTATCGATGTTCATCAGTCCACTGTTTGACAAAATGTCTTTAAACTAAGCATGTTCATCATGTATGCTATTCTCCCAAGTATTGATTGATGAGTTAAATAGTGCAGGATAAAGTGACATTCTGAAGGAGCAGTATTGCACATAAGCAAAATATTAACCCTTCCTCCCAAGAATGGCTAAATTGGGCCATGGAGGAAGGCAACACTGATTTTTACTTGCCAATTGCCTAAATATAAGTAATTCTACAGGGTTAAAATATTTCAGTATCTGGGGAGATGGGTGCAGTGTTCCAGAGATAAGCATGTTTGGTCAACCTCAGAAAAAAGCTGAACTTGTGAAGATGTTGGCTGAAAAGGCTTAGCCAACATCTTCCTTCTGGCTCTGCAAGGAAGATGCCAAATTGCCAATACCCCCAAACATTTTTTTTGAAATATTGCTGCATGGACCATCGACTACCTCTCGGACCGACCACAGCTGTGGGTCTGAGGTGGTAGTCTGCAGCACTGGGGCCCCTCAGGGCACCCTCCTCTCACCATTTCTCTTCACTATCTACACTTCGGACTTCACATATGACACACACAGCTGCCACCTGCAGAAGTTCTCCGACAACATCGCCATTGTGGGCTCGGTTACCACTTTGTCAACTGGTGTGAGCGCAACCTCTTGTGCTTGAACACCAGTAAGACCAAGGAGATGGTAATCAACTTCAGGAGAAAACCGCTATCCCACACGCCGCTGAACATCCAGAGGGAGGGCATTGAGCTGGTGTACAGCTTCAAGTACCTGAGTGTTTACATTAACAATAAACTGGACTGGTCCCATAACATCATCGCCCTGTACAAGAAGGGCCAAAGTCGCCTCCACTTTCTGAGGAGACTGCGGCCCTTCAACTTTTCATGACTCTGTGGTAGCTTCTGCCATACGCTGCCGTTGGCCCCAGGCAGCACAGAGCGGGACAGGAGTAGACTCAACAAGCTAGTCAGGAGGGCCAGCTCCGTTCTAGGCTGCTCCCTGGACTCTGGAGGAGGTGAGGAACAGGAGGGTGCTAGTCAAAACAACTCCCACCCACTGCACAGGGCTGTAGAGGAGCTCAGGAGCTCCTTCAGTGGAAGAATGAGGCACCCTCAGTGCAATAAGGAGCGGTACCGCAGGGCCTTCATCTCCACCGCTGTCAGACTGTACAATAAGTCACTTTAAGTCACTAATGACCTGCACTAGGACTGAAAAACCAGCACTGCTATAGCCACATAATATTCTGCAAAGTCTATATTTGAACCTTTAACATGATTGCACACTTCATGTCTTTTTGCACAACTTGAGTGATACTATCTATGCCAAATGTACATTTCTCCATTGTGAGATTAATAAAAGTTAACTTTTCTTATCTTCTCAGGACTTCAGCAAATAAGTTAAAGCTTGGATGAAAATGCATCTTCCAAATGGACAATAACCCCAAGCACACAGCCATAATCGTTACTAAGTGGCTTAAAGACAACAAACTCAATGTTTTTGAGTGTTCTGATGTCAATCCCATAGAAAATGTGTGGGGAGATCTCAAAGGGTGTGTGACAGTGAGGTGTCCTACAAATCTGAAGTAATAGGACAGATTTCCTGACAACTATTGTGAGGAGCTTATCCAGAATATCCAAAACATGTCAGACACTTTTAAAGGCAATAGTTTAATACTGACATCACTACCCAGACAAACAACAGCATGTGTAGATGTGCAAAAGATGCACAAGCAGCTCATGCCCAAGATATGGGACACAGTAAAAATGTAAATACTCAAGAAACCAAAAGTCGGCTCAACCTTTCTTCATGAAAAACAATTAACTTAGAGTAGATAACAATATTTAGTTACTCATTAGCGGTGGATACAAGAATTTTCCTTGGTTTCCTTGTTGAATTGCATGGTATTAGTTGCAGTGGTTCTTTTGGCACCCCCTCCACACATTTTGGTTTGCTCTGCTTGGGTAGCATTGTTCTACATTCCTCTCTGACAGTCGCTTTGGATATGTTAAATATCCCTAAATAGTAGCATATTTTTCTCTGCATAAACATGCCTACCATACTAATCTGATCCACACATGTAAACTTCTGACTTTGTAGTAAATAATACAAATAATCAATATAGTGACATTGACTAAAAATACATTGTTTTGGTAAAAAAAAGTGGTTTTGTTTTTCAAATAAAAAAGCATGTCTTCATAACTTCCGGTTTCCACTGTATGTTGCTCGGCACAAGCATACACCGCACATGCAGAAACAAATGTTGCTTATAACAAATGATGACAAGGTAATTATCAAGTAGCCTTGTCACAAGGAGGCGGGGGTTTAAAAATAAAGCTCACACCACCCTCATTAGCGAGCAATCACAGTGGAGCTCTAACATCGCACCCCTATAGATTACAGCTGGCACACTTCAACACAAGAAGGTCATGCTCTGGTGGTTTGAGAGTTACATCTTATAATACAGTATCTTAACACAGCGTGACTCATTTATTAGGCAAAAGAAATACATGGGTTAAAAGCATGAAAGGAAACCTTGCATTTTCCAGTAGTTAGATTAAAGTGTCTGTGAATATAATTTTGCCACTCTAAAGGAACTAATTTTACCAAAACAACAAGTAACAACAGGCAGTTGTCTCAGTGCGAAACATGTGAAACAACCCACAACATACACGGACACACAAACACACTCACCGAGGCCTAATCAATGCAGCTCATTCATATTGAACCACAGACATCAGGGGAAGCCGGGGGAATTACAAGCAGCATCCACTGTGAGATCCCAGCTCAGACAAAGTATTACACCCTAGGAAACCTTCATATTGTCTCTATTCAAGGGATATGTTTAAACTGAATATGAAAATGCATTCGTAAAAAAAAATCATTATTGGATTTCTTTTTTTCTCCTGTGTTCAATATGCCTAGGTAAAACATACAAACTTGTGACAACATTTTGCTACACACAAAAAAAACCAAATATAAATGTTTTGATTTTCAGAAATAATCAATTTCTGAAACAAAACTTTTCCTAACCAAAACCAAAATCATCTGGTCTCCAAAATATACCTCAGGTCAAATCATAGACTGTAAGGTCAAACCAAAGCGGTACATAAAAACTACAACCGGAATTATTTGGGAAAAGATCTTATTTTGTAAGACACAAAATAAATAAAACAGTGATAATGATAAAACAAAGAGATAGGAATAATTTAAAGGAATGAAATGCAAGATGCAGATGCACTAAAAAGTCATAACTAATTGAATAATAGCTAGAGGAAAAAGTACAATAATGAAATAGTTTGAAGTCAAAAGTATGAGGTAGGCAAAAAGGCACAATTTCAACAAGTCAGTAAGTTTAGATCCGAGTGGGGATTTTTTGCACAGTCCGCTGCGAGTAAAAACAACTCATTTTGACACTGGCTAAGCAACTGGGGGAAAATAATTTACACTCAACAGTAGAGCTAGAAGCAAGACAAACAAGAGCTTGAAGCAAAGCCATCTTCAAATGTGGATAATAGTCTGTGTTCAGTCCAACACCAACAGCGCTTATCCTTTCTCACACAGAATACTCACCAGTAACTTCTGCTTTAGTTTCTGGTGGCTCCAGGGGTCTCTGTTAAGACTGCAATCATCTAGAGGAGAGCTGTCCAAATATCGTCTGTGTGGTAATTGGAAGGGTAGAACCTCATTTCTCACCTGGAAAAACAAAACAATAAACCACCAATAAATTCATACATCAGAGACTCTATTTACCGATAGTTTTATATTATAATAACTTTCTACATTCTGTAAATGTTTGTAACAGACCATGTTTTCTGGCTTGAATAGAATATTATCAATACTACTATTAACACTACAAACACAAGTTTTCTTTTCTCATTCGGTTGTGAAAATAAGGTGGCAGTTTGGTTTCAAAAGCTGTTGAGTCTTTGAGCAAGACACCTTGCCCCCACTGTCGCCTACAATGGTATGAGAATAAGAATGGCTAAGTGGATTCTCAATATGGACTCAGAAAGAATAGCTGATTGCAAAGCTTTCAGCTGATGGGATCCATAAATAAACAAATACTGTATATGAACCTACAATATCATAATTACTCCAATGTTCAAATACTGCAAGCAACTTTGATAACAGCACATAAACAGCTTGTTATTGCCAAGCTAGTAGAGCTAGCTGGAAATAATAATTCCCTCACTTAAATTATTCATAACTCCAGTCAGGTGGAACCAGATGCTTCTTTTGTGTCATAGAGAGCGAGCTGTAACTCGACTCGAGCATGGAGGGCTCTCTCAGCGTGGAGCTAAAGGCTTGAGGCTTGGACACTGCTGAGCTACAAACAGATCGTAGGATGTCATGACACGGGCGTTGCTGTTTGCATGTGACATTTCCAAGCAAGTGTTTAGAGGACAAGGCTTTAGTGGGCAGGTCTTCATCAGAGCAGACAAAGTGTGATCCGCAGGGTTAATTCAGCCTCGGTACCCCTCCCTGACATTTGTGACCATGGCAAAGAGTTGACCTTCTTTGTCTATGCCATGTTCCAATGTTGAATACTAATGCTGTGGTTCTGCGCCCAACACTCATGGGAACAAGCTGAGCTATTTTTAGCTGCTTGTCCCCAGCTGCACATCTCCAACCTCAGGCCACTGGGCTTTTAGTGTTTGTTTCTCATGGTAAGAGGCAGTGCCATAACCTCCCAAATGCAAACAGACATCTAGACACACGCTCTCACTATTCTACTCTCTATTAGACCAAAGCAAAGTCCATACAGTAAGTTCTCCCACAGTCGCTCCTGATAGGTGACTCTAGCGGGATTGGAAGGATGGGTTAAATGCAGAGGACACATTTCTCTACAGAGACAAAAATAATAATAATAATAATGCATCTGTTTTATATAGCGCTTTTTTGGACACTCAAAGACGCTTTACATGTCGTTATTCTTTCACTCCATACACGGTGGTGATAAACTACTACTGTAGCCACAGCTGCCCTGGGGCACACTGACAGAAGCAACCAGTATGTGCCATCAGCCCCTCCGACCACCACCAACCATTCACACACACACCAGACTCATTCTAGGTAGGCAATGGGGGTAAAGTGTCTTGCCTAAGAACACAACGGCAGTTTGGCACTTTACAGCCGCAGCCGCCCCACTGTGGCTGGTGTTCCCAGAGGTTAAGTGTCTTGCCAAGGACACAACGACAGCAGACAGTGGGAGTCAATGGTGAAAGTCAGGCTCGAACCCACGACCCTCTGGCTCAAAGGCCAATGCTCTACCAACTGAGCTACTGTCGCACAATAAAGTGTACCTTAACCTTTAATCACCATTTAAAACTGGGGAACCTATATTAATTCCCGCAAACTTTGAGGGCGGCAGTGCAGCTGCGGCTGTAAAGTGCCAAACAATTGTTGCGTCAAGACACTTCACCCACATTGCCTATGTGTGAGTGAATGAATGATTGGGTGTGGTCGGAGGGGCCGATTATTCAGATTAGTTGCCTCGCCTTCTGTTAAGTCTTCCCCAGGGCAGCTGTAGGTACTGTAGTAGTAGTTTACCACCACAGTAAACAAAGTGAATGAATAGCGCCATGTGAATAATGTTGTTATTATCATTATGTAAGTGTGATTTGAAATAAGTGGAGGCAATATGACTGCTATATCTATTGTTTATTTACCTAAACCTATATATATATATATATATATATTAAAATTAAAGAAGAAAATATACACTTACACGTTTTAAATCATTTTACTGAGGGCAACCCTAATTGATCTGTCTTTTTACAGTGTTTTGGTGCAATCTCTATGCCCCTGTTCATTGATGAGCTAGCACAGAACCATAGGTAGACATGCTGTTACCATCTCCACAGAGACCTATAGACCAATTTAGTGTGCTGCATTAAAGAGTTAACAAAGATGAATGACTATAAAAGGGTTTGCGCTGCAGTAGCCAGTAGTCAGTTATTTTTTTTCTAATTTGCTCTGAAATTCTCTTGATCGGGACATTAGAATCAATTACAATCCCACACAGTAAGGCATTAACTCCTGGCCACATTAGCATGCCGTTAATTATGCCCACCATTAAAAGAACAGCAGAAATGGCCTACACTTCACTTCGACTGGAAATGCACATCTATGAGTTTACCGGATGTATATAAATAAGTCAAACAGTAATAGATATCTAAATAACAAGAGGGATATTAATTATGAGAGAAAATACTTTAATAATAATTTCAACTTACTCACAAATACAATAAAATGTTGCTATAGCTCCACAAAAAAACACACTTATAATTGAAAGAAAGGGTAAATACACGTAGTTTGTCCTAACAAAAACAAATATGCAAAAGTATAATTCTGTCAAATCAGACCACAACATGCCGTTTTATTTTATTAGAAGAGATTTCACTTTTGCATAAGAAATAGCCTTGTGAGTCACTATTTGACCCCTTAGGCTAAGACCTGAATGGCTGAATAAGACCGGTCTTAACATTTTTGTCTGATGTAGCCAAAAATACTCTCTGTGAAAACTTTATAAAACCAAACTGTTTTGAGAGCGAGGAACTAGTTAGATGGAAGTCATTTTTGTGTTTTGATACTCAGGTACCTGAACTATAAATTGAGGGGTTTCCATTAATAAGAAACACAAAAGATCACTATATATGACAATTTTATCATTTGTATCATGATCTATGAAACTTCATCATTGATCCAACTTGATCTGTTACTTAATGATATCGTTATGACATCACTCTCTAAAACAAAACAATAAACGCAGATCCTAATTCAGATTTTAAACTTTCTCAAGAGAAAATATGAAAAGTCTTATATATTGTTTTTTAGGTCATGGAGGTATGCGAGTACAGTGTCAGTGGGCAGATTAGAGGGACAAAAGGAACCAGTGCAGACAGACATGAATTCGACCGGTGCAGATAAGCTTTTTTATTACAAAGCAAATCCAGACAAATAATCACAGCCGCCTGTGGATTTGGGGAAAAATCTAAATAATCATCTGCCTCATGAAAACAGCTATGAAAGTGCATATTTAACATGTACAAAGATTTTATTTAAATCCCACATGACACCTATTTATTATGCTTTTCTAATCTTTATTGCTGGAGAACCTGTTTAAAAAACTACAAGATAGTTTTACAACAATAAAGAAGAAAGCTTTACAGGAAGTGGAGCAGAGTTCCAGAGCCTGACATCACAGAAGAGGGATTCATATGGATCCTTACGTTTGGCACAATTATATACATATAATAAGAGTCATATTTATACATCTAGAATAAAATTGCATCTTTCTATTCACACAACAGCTTTTGAAACCAAACTGCCAACTTCTTTTTCGCAACTGAATGAGAAAAGAAAACTGGTGTTTGTGAAATGTAATAGTAGTTTTGATATAATTCTATACAAGCCAAAAAAAGGGTGTTTTACAAACATTTACAGAATATAGAAAGTTATTATAAAGTAAAACTGTAAATATAGAGTCTCTATTTACATTTATGGCATTTAAATATGAAGCTCCATCAAGTGAACACAAAATGTATCAAAATTAAAATAGTACAAGAACCGGCCTCAGTTACAAAAAAATAAAGCATTTTGCATATATAATGTACTCTGAGGGCGCATTCAAACATTCTTTGGTTAATTTAAGAAGAAAATTAAAGAATTAAAGAAGTCACAAAACATTCTCATTGAACTGCTGAGCTGACGAGTGGACCAGTGTACCACTTTTCCACACATTTCCACAAACAACTGAACCAATGTCAGAAAGGTGCATTATAACATAATATTAGTTAATAATAGATTTTAAGTAAGTAGATTTTAAGTAGAGAAATAAATAAATGGTTTCTAAATATTTGTAATACATTTGCCCCCTCAGTAAAACTATATCCGAGGTATGTTCGTTCACACCCTGAACCCAACAGGGTGGATAATATCTATTCAAGGTACCCCCTGCTTTGAAGGAGCACATTCAAAACAAACAATTCTACTTTGAATTGCTTAGTTGCAATGAGGACAGAGCAAGATTTTACAGTTAAAATTAATATAAAGTAAGGCTATATCCACACGAAGACAAAACGCTTATAATTTCAGAAACTTTTTCTGTAAACACGGAGTTAGCTCAGTAAATGTGTGCGTCCATATGAATGTAGTCAATACGCCTGAAAACGCTGTGAAACTATGCCAGACCTGTTGGTGGCGCTGTGACGCAATGACGGGATCAAGCCCAAACTTCCGTGGGCATGCGCGGAATTTTGTAAACAGACAACATGGCGAGTGGGCGAGCTGGTACTACATTAGTATGGACGGACGATGAGGTTGAACTGTTGTTTCGGGTCACACTGGATTACAAAACCAACAAGCTACATTGTTGTTGTCATTATTTTCTGAGTGCGGCGCATGCGTGCTTTAACAAGAGGCGGGGCGATGACGCAAGCGTCTCAGATACATTGCGGAAAGGCAGTAACCACGGAGCGGCATATACGGAGTTTTGAAATCTTTCCACTCTGGGACCTAGTTTCAAAAATGTTCGTTTACACCCCCCCAAAACGCCGGCCTCGTATGGACGATACACTGGATTGATAAAGTATTTTTGCGTTTAGGCCTGAGCTTGACTTCGTGTGGACAGGGCCTAAATTTGTATGTAATTATTTCATGCAAACTCATTTAGTAGAATGCTTTTACAAAATAAAAATACCATAATAATAAAATGCAAATGTTCAGTCAGTCCATGAACATTAGGGATATTACTGAGTCCTGAAACAATCGATTATGAATGCAGTCAAATCCCTGCAGTGATTAGTGGACCCTCTGCTCTGGCCTCCAGTGCTTCAGTCCACAGCAGACAGTCACATGACAACATATCTGACCTACACCCTGCCTCAGACTTGTGACAGAAATGAATCGTTCGTTCCAGCCCTAAAACAGAGGTGCATTGAAAAGGTTCAAAACAGAAATGCGATTAATTAAAACATTCCTTTTTGCTTAGCAGAAATTGTCTTTGGCAGTCTGTGCATAACGACCTAACAGTGGTCTTTATGAGTTTTATGTATTATTAATATTCATTACTTGTGATTAATGAATTTATTATTTATTATTTTTAATTTTTATCACTGATGGTTATTAACCTACAGTTTTAATGCAAGGAAAAAAACATTTACAGTGTGTGAAAACATAAAAAGCAGTACAAGGATATCCCCTCTATTCTAGTAGTATCAGGACATAGAGTATTAATCAGTGATGTTGATAACCAGCTCTGTGCTGTGCCGTGCACAATGGTGGACTCCAAGGGTGCAGTCGCTGAGATTCCTGGACCCATTTTGACAGAGATTTCCCACTGAAGAAGGTATTATGTAACGTCTGTCGTGAACCCTGCTGCTCAGATCACTAATGCTCTCCGCGACTGAGGTCACGTGCCTTATCCAGGCCACATCCAGGCGCCAACAGCAGCATCATCTGCTGTTACTACAGTCACTCAGGACCATGCTTAGCCATGCTGCACTCACACTGAGTCATTGTGGTTTGCACCTTGGTAGTACATGAACACAAATGACAACCAGTCTAACTGATCCAGGTCCTTCAACTGACCTGGAACAGTTAGACTGGTTATCATTGTATATCATTGCTTTTATCTCAAAATTACTAGCGACTTTGGAATAGACCAAAATATTAAAACATATTTATTTGTTTATGAATTTTGTATCTCTTTCTAAACGTGTCTTATAATTTTCAATTTGCCGTGATGTGCAGTGTTTGCTTTGACAAACAAGCAAAGCACTAGTTTTTACTAGTAAATAATGTAGAAAAACGTTTGGTAACGCTTGTCACATACCTAATATCATTGAAAAATAGACTATATGGAGACTATTCATAAATTTTATTACACTGATAAACAACCCTATATATACCCCCAGATTTTACACAAATCGTTCTTTTTAAGCCACAAATATGACTCTTTTCCACAAGTGTATAGTGATGATAAGTCACCTGCCTCTAGATCAGGGTGAACCAGTAAATTGACGAATGGCCATGCCTGCTTGTCAAGGTGGACAGAAGAGCCAATGTATGAATGAAGGTATTGTCAGAGAACACTCTTCTACCTAGTGTGAGGGAGACTGACAAGCCTAATTATAGAGGCACTTCAAATGAGTGACCTTGGGATGCTGCAAATACACATACCTGCTCTCATACATAAACCTCTTCTGTCAGACAAAATCACACAGAGGTGCTGGCTTCCCATTGGCTGCTATAGATTCCCACAATCCAATCCCTCTCTCATGACTGCCATCTATAGGCTCTAGCCCTTTAGTGTGCACATTTACCTATAAAACAGCACATGGAACACCCAGTCTTTTTATGTATCTATTTATCAATGAGTTGGATCAGACTCAAAACCAACCTGACAGTCAAGGGCATTTTTTGAGATGCAACAAATCACTGCTCATATCAGTTACGTTCATCTGGAATGAAGTCGCCTGTAAAGCCTAAATGAATAATACATATGACAATGCATGACAGCTCTGATACCATTAGCATTCATGTGCAGACACCAATAACACACTTCTTTCCGTATAACTTGACACTACCAAATGCACAGCATATTGATTCCACTAAAAAAAACCCTTGGATGGTAACAGTTATAACAAGCAAATCCCAACAGTTTTAAACACCTTGTTGTGACACTCATATACCCCAGCCAAGCGTAGCTGTTTAATTAAAAAACATATGAAAATGACAGAACACCGAAACACACACTGGATGGAAAATCGTTTTGCATACAAATCAAGTGCTCTATCTGTCCTCTATCTCTTCATGGTGTATGTGTTAAAACATACAGTCCAGGTAAACATCAGAATAGTCAGCTGTAAAGCAAGCATGAATTTCAATGTCCGTAGCCTCTGGGACACTGACATGTTCCCATAATTCTTATCCTGGCAACAGAGCCACCACAGCAATCCTGCAGCAGAACACGCAGAACAAGCGGTGTGTGCTGTAAAAACAGACACTTTTACATCAGGCGGTAGACGGTACAGTACCTTAGCAGCAGACGTTAAAGGAGAAGTGCACAAGAAGCAGATTAGAATAATGATGGTAGGACAGCAAGCAATCCAGCCGCGAGACCCAGGCGATGTATATGGCAGCTCCGTAGCATAAAATGGTTCATCAATGCTTGGCAGAAAGAAGCACAGCGAGGCAGCGCAAAGAGGAGGAGAGAGAGAGAGACAGCAAGGCAGAATCACTGGGCTCACACTACTGGGGCTGTGCAGTGGAGCACACACATCAACACGCCCCCTTTCTCCTCTCTGCCGCTCTCACACTCGCCTGCTCATACACACTAAGGGTGCAGAGGTAGTGCAGTGCGCATCAGAGTGGCATTCTCAAAACAGGAAGCTTTTCTTTGAGCAGACCGTTTCCCACAACTCAAAAACAATCCTGTCTTGAGTGGTGTTAAGTTACTACTCTAAACACAAACACATCTTGCAACTGAAAGATATCACCAAAGTGGGAAAGTCAAGTGAGGATCTAATGTATTTTTATTTGCAGTGTCGTCCCTGTTTTCTTAGATGCGTTTGTTTCCAGCTGTTTTGTAAGATGATACAGGGACTCTGCCTTGCCTCGTCATGGGTCATTATGCCACAGCCGCTCCCCAGAGGCTTGGCTTGAAAACCTCACTCGCTGACTGTACAATCAGAAAGACGAAGACCAATCAGGCATCACAAACAGCAGCAACACTTCAGCTGTCCAATCAGAGATCGGAAAATCGAGTGCTGGAGGGTATTAAAGGGGATTATTTGGGGCATCCTGATCTTTTTTCACAACTGGAGAATGTAGAGGAGCATGGCTGCCCTCTGTAGATGGAAGGTGTAAGCACTGAATGACACAGCCTAAACAGATAGTTTAAGCTAAAATATCGAACACCAGTGTTGCTTACTTTTCTATAAATCTGTCTCTCCCCCACCCTCTTTACAATCTCAGCTGAATCTGTGAAGCTTAGCAACGAGGTAACACTGATGTCAACTGCCCACAGACCACCAAGAAACAAAGAGGAAAGGTTGGTATACCATATACTGGTTTCAACTTTGTTTGTTTGTTTCTTTGTTAAAAACATCCTTTGTACTGTATGTAAGATTTGGATTTTTTATTTACGTCCCAAAAAAATGATAGATGATAAAAATTATACATTGAAAAGTCAAGTTTATTTTTAAAAACAATGTTCAAAAGGCCACATGAAGAGGCCATATTATTATGTGAAAATGTTGTGTTGTAATTCTTATTGTACTGATCATTGGATTAGAAAGAAGAATGAGTCTGCCATGTGGGTTGCCTGTTACTTTGGTGAAATCCATCTGATTTAATCCTAAAAGATTACTACCTAAACACCAGCACCTATAGCACATGAGTGATCAGGGCCAGGGAGCAGCAGTTACTGTGTGTGAACTCCACGTGCAGATAAGACCCTGCATGAACACAAATAGTTTGGTTATAATTGTAATGTTTTACTCAAAAGGTTGCATATTGTACTCAAAATGCACCTTGTTATTTTCATTTGCAGTATATTCTGTTCAGCAACCTGCCCATCTAAAAACTGCAACAACAACGACAACAACAACAGGCTCGGACAGCTGTCACAGAGGGTGTGATCAACACTTCTGGCTATAGTGTGTGGAAAAGACCTGTCAGCTTTATGATAAAGGAACTATGATCAAATTAACTATTTCAAATGTTTGAAAATAATCACAATTATAACTATGCACTTGCCAATGCAATCATAATAAATAGGAGTCAAATATGAACATTCAAATCAACAGAAAAGAAAGGTCTTTGTCGGACATGACAAGGTCAGATCATGGCTGTAGGCGTCAACAGTGCCGATCCTGCCACTGCAATATCATGACCGATTCCCAGCTTATCCATGCACACAGCTTTGATTTTTATCACTCACCTTATGGCAGTTCCGTTTTGGTGTAGTGATCCTCTGTCTCTGGTTCCATACTACATCCCTCGATTTCAGAAGCTTCTCTACCTCACATGTCTTCTGACAACCCATTGTACTCTACAACATGGACGGTAAACAGATGGTGACACATCTTTCGAAATAATTCAAAAAGCTTGTTCCGTGCAAAGACCTACCATGACCGAGTGATTTTCATGCTCCTCCGAAGGCTTGTCATGGTTGGCAGCCAGCTGATGTCATAACTCCAGCATGTTCAGATTATAAATATCTGTATTCAGCAGCGTAGTTACATAATAGTGGATGTTGGATTATTCTAAGTACAAAGAGACAGAAAATATAGCACAGCTGCTGCAGGACACATGTAAACACAAATCCTTCTAAAGCAAGAAAGCTATTTAGGTAAAGTATAATAACACAGAAGACACCACTTGTATCAGTTTGAGACGGTAGGCCCTTGTGATATGCAATTTCTATTTAGGTTTGTCACTGTTTTGCTTTATAGTTTGTTTATACATTCAAGTTTGTCTATATGACCACCCTTACTTCACAAACATAACAAAATAAAATTGATTTATCTCATTAGGAGTTTAGCTACTAGAAACACAAGGAAGAAGACACAAGACATACACATTAATATAATAGTCAAAGTATTTTTGTGCGTATTTTTCATTAGTTACCTGATTTATATTACTTTATTTGGCTCAATTGAATAGTTTCTCAGTTATAGATTTCCTTTCTTTAATATACGATACATTCTTATTACAGCATATTTATAGTTCAGTTCAACAACTATCACAATAAAAAAACAAACTAAAAGCTTATCTAATATGAAGCTTACATGAGGGACCTGGCTTCAGCAGAGGTGATCACGAATAAACCAATCAATCATGCTGTGGGGTTTTTCTCTTTGAACCATAGAAGGTCTTCGGCTCTAGCTAAATAGAAAGCAAAGGGTTAATATTAGCAACATAACATGCTAACTAATGCTAACTCGGTGTCTTACAGAAATTCTTTGCTCAACGTTCCTGAACTGTCAAAAATCAGTCATTCTTACGGAATCATGCTCTGCTGACTTTCAATTAGCAAACTTTTATCATTTTCATTATTTTATGTAATATTACGTAAAAAAATAACATTAAACAAAAAAGATTCGCGTAGAATCGTCTAGCTAGCTTGGAACCAAATATAAACAAACACGGAGAGCGCCATTTTGTAATCTACTTCTGTGATGTACAACATTTTTGTATGGCTCGTTATTGCCCTCATGTGGATTTTTTAAAATATTACCAGTATTTTGTAGCTGTGAAAAGGCTAACTTACAAATCTTATTATGACAATGATAATGGTAGCTATAATGCAAAATACAATGAAATTGAAGAGACTGTGAAATACTTATTGCACTTTGAAAATAATTTATTTACAGGATAATTTCAGGTTGAGTTTCTCTGCAATTGCAAAGCATTAGCAGTAACTTGTAATGCTTGAATGGGGTGAGGTATGAGGCACGCAGCATTGCAAAGGCAGACATGTCATGATAGTCATTAGTCCGAATGAAAGCACTACTAGTGTGAAAAAATACAGCTGAAATATGTTTCTTCAAAGTCAGTCCACACTTTTAGTTTTCTCCACAGAGAGCAAGAAGGATCTTCTCATAATCTTCTTTTGTGTCATCCTGAAAAAAATAGACATAATATATTAAAAATATATATGTTTAAGTATGAAAACCTTTTGATAGAAGTAGACAATGGATTTTACACATTTACAAGGATGCCGTTCTTACCAGGATATCTTGGTACAGTGTTTTGCCATAGTTCTTCTTGTATTCCTCTTTTATCTTCTTCATATCAATCTCAGAGCGACTCACCATAATGCGAGTAAGGATATTTTTGCGTGTTCCTTTGCCCTGTAAAAAGTTAGAATGATATATAAATATATTTGCTCTGCAACACTATTTCAACATTTGCAAGATGATTGTGTACCTCCATAGCCAAATAGAGCTTCTCTGCAAAGAATGCTGGCCGACTTCCAGCGCACTTTACAACAGCTGTGAGACAACTTTCAATATCTCCTTTCATCTCCAAGTCGATAGCTTTGGCCACGTCCACTTTGCTGTACTTTGAGTACCTCTCAAACACTAAATAAATGTAACATTCATTATCTGCATTTTTCTTTTTGCAATGCACTTTTTTTTGCTGTGGAGTGATTTGTCTTACCTGTGCGGAGATGTGGGGCACTTCTGGTGCTAAGGATTTCAATAAAAGCTGAGCAATCTTTGCCTTTTCTTCCTTCTCCAGCTTCATACAAGGCCCTGGCATCACTGTCAATCAACTGCTCAACTACTCCATCAGTTCTGGCAGCCTATGATATAATAACACCTATTTCATTTCTAAAAACCTTTTGTCAACTTGTAGTGTGAATACTTTTATACAATTGTTTATACTACCTTACAGAGTTCCAATAGAGCCTTCCTGAAGTCACCACTTGTATCAGACTTGATATCATCCTCTAAATCCTTTTTGTAATCTGAGAAAAGGACATAATAAAGTAGGCAAACAGTATTGAAAAAATAAACTACTACTAAGTACCGTTCTTGTAGGCTTTCTTAATGTCCAAAATCTCGTTGTTAGTGCGTGAAGTTAAAATTTCGATGAGGGTGTCTTCATCTGTACCGAGACCCTAATGACAGAAATGTATATAGATCGAAATCAGACAGAATATACTCACGGTGATAATACAACTGAACAAAGCAGAAACATCCTTAAGTCACAGTGAGTGTTGTTGTACCTTCATGGCCATTTTCAGTTGCTCAGCATCATATTGAGATGGTGTTTTTAACAGAGCCAGCACAACATCCTCCAGGTCTCCCTTTAAAGCACTCTTTAGGGCAGATTCTAGAGTCTAGGGAAAGCACATTTGTAAACTACATAAATAAGGATTAAATCTTTTCACTGGGAAAAAGTCCCTCACAATGCCTCAAGTGACAGTCGCTGAAACCCATTATTACCCTTTGCATTTCAGTGGAATATTGCCATTTTATTAGCTAACTCATGTTTGTCATTAGTTACCAATTGTGAATGAACAAGTAGGACCTAAAGGATCAAAGTAGCAGTACTAACTGTAGTTAATAGACTATCTGCTCTATCTCTAATCTCTCTTTAATATGTATGTATTTATTGTATTGTATTTACCTTCCCACTGGCCTGCTGGTAAGCTTCCTTGATTTGCTGTCTTTGCTCATTGCTTCTTTTTACCAAGATTTCAATGATAGTGTTCTCATCTACTCCTGTAACAAACAAACATTCTTCATGAAAAAGGATCATATTTTCAGCCACAGTGAACATATCTGTGATGCTACACGTGGCATTTGCCCAGCAGAAGGCGCCAGACATCAATATTTGAACTGTTTACTACTCAGTCTACTCAACAAGACGTGCTCCAACAAGCTTAACAAACAACACTCAAGACCACCACCTTTTGTTTTGATGGCTTTGTCCAGGACGCCGGCATCTCCAGCAGCATTGAAGTTCGGGGCGGCTGTGACTGTCCCCTCTTTTTTCAGCACCTATAACAATAACAGAGATGAGGTGTGTTGTGAAAATGTGCAGACCTATGATTTATATCAGGTGTGAGGATGGAGAAGTGTTAGGTGGAAGTACGTGTCTGTGAAAATTGACAGATCCACAAGGGAAATTGCATTGTCACAGTAGCTTGCATAGTATTGCACAATAGAAATAACTTTAAAGTGACAATCTGAAGATAAGAATAATAATAATAAGATAAGATACAGAAAAAATGCATTATACGATTATTATACATAATATGGGGTACCTACATGTTATTTTGCCCCAACAATTTTGCTATATAAATAAAGTGGATTGGATTGATTATTTGACGCTCATAGTTGTGAGCATCAAATATCCTGAAAAAGCTGGCCTAAAGATGTGACAGAGGCGAAAATAAAAATGCTGTTTAAGAGCCAGGGTTGGAAACTATTTAGAAGATATTGCATAGTTCATGTTTTAAGATAAGATAAGATATGCTTTATTTATCTCACAAAGGAAAGAAATTCACATGTCACATTTAGCATGGATAGAACACTCAAGATTGTGCAAAAAGAAAGAAATGCGCAAAAATGTTAAATGCAGGATATATTATGTACAACAAAAGTGTCAAGTGTCAATTTAAAAGTGGCAATCAAGTGTGGTTTAAACGCTAGACACCCCAGCTTTAATTCAAAAAAGAAGAGAAGCGGTAGTGAAGTTTGTAAAGGGAGGGGCAAAAATTCCTCCTGCGTATGACTCACAAAAGCCAGACCAAGATCATGATAGGGTAAATACTACTTACAGTTTTAAAATACAACTCCCTGAACTTAGCTAAAGCTTTAGTGTGTTCCAACTGTTTAATAGGCAGTGTAGCAGAGGTACAGTTTAAACTCCAACACACTCATTGCTCAGATAATCTAACTTACATGTTTTCCACCCTAACATACCACAGGAAAAGAAAAAAAAGGGAAAAAACAGTTGTTGGCCCTAGCAACTGGAGGAGTATACTCACTGACTCATCTGGCATTCCCATATAAACGGCCTGCTTCATGAGGGCTTCAATGAAAGACATGGTGTCTCTGCTGCAGTCCTTCTGTATATACATCAAAATATAACCATTAGACTATTTGTTCAACATGAGTTCATACATAATACAATGCATGTTTCTGTCTTTGTATTTGCATGGCATTGATTGAAAAGGTATTGATTATTATGCAATCAAATATATACTCTTGCCTGGAAAGAACGATGTGTGTATTCTGTCTAAACCTAATCCAGATATTGACGCAAAAATCGAAGTGATTGATTGTAAAAGCATTAAAGTATAATATGAGAGTTTTATGGGGCAAACTTTGACGAGTTCATAATAGACTAATAGAATAGACTGTCATATTCATAGACGTGATTATGGTTTACAAACGCACAATAAAGACTGCAGCTGTAAAAAGCCACACCCTCATTGGTGACAAGTATAGCTGGAGGAGAAAAGAGATTACAACCCCGACATTTACATAAACAGTAGTGTGACGGGTGAAAAGTCCATAGCAATAGACAGGTAGGATTATTATAAAAAACAAATATTCTTACCGGTAAGTTTTGAAAGAAAGTTGTGCTGAGTTTCCAGGGTCGTTGGAGTGGAAGACACAGTGTATTTATACCCGGGATAGACCCCACCTTTCAGGGCGAGTCCAGATCCCCTCCACCACTGCACCACCGCTGCTCCACCACTGGCCCCATGCGCTGGCCCCATGCGCTGGCCCCATGCGCTGGCTCCATGCGCTGGACTCTGAATACCGCTACAAACGAGGAAGTTTCACGGCGAATGGAAAAAAAAAAGGTTTCACAAGGAGAAGCAAATGTTTCACAAGAGCTTTTCAATCATTGTCATTCATCGGGACATGATTACGACATGATAGGCGAGTCATTTGATTAGTTTAATTTTACGCAAATCCTGTATTTACCCACATGTAGCAGCCTGCTGTGCATTATGCTCAATAGTGTAACTTCCCAAAATGTACAGACACAAAACAGTTTATTTCATTATGGATGATTCGTGGCACTGCAGAAAATTTAGTTAATCCGTTTTTCAGAAACACTTAAATATGTATGGACATTTACAAAAATACATTGAAATTGAGATTGACAACTCTTATACATTAATACAAGAATTAAGTAAAACAACAAATATATAAGAACGATGTGGGGAAAGCTGTTTAGAAAGTGCCTATAAGATTATGATTTTTTTCCTTATTGTGAGCAGCTTGCTTCTCCACAAACTTTACACTGAGTCCTATTGCTGTTGGTAGACTGTAGTTTTTGTTGTTGTATAAAATGTCACGTTTTCTAAAGATACCATGCATGTGTTACAACGAGTTTGCCTTGTCTTAACACAATCTTGTTTACACAGAAGTCCATGTTTGAAAATCTTGCCATTTTCCACATTCCTATAGGCTTCGTATGTCTAGGTCTGTCCAATTAATATAAAAAATCTTCTTTCCAGCACAGACCACCTCTGACCCCGGCTTCTTCAGCGATGATGCAATTAGGTGTGTCTTGTTGTCACAGTAACATGTCCACCTGCCAACACGTTTCAACAAGGCGTAATGCTTTCACTGGGATCTTACCAGAGACGTAATGAGTGACACATCTGCATCACCTCACTCTGTCGTCATGCATTCACAGGATTTAACTGGCTTGTAAAAAATGCATTGTTGTTTTTTTATCAGTCATTGACCTATATCTTGTTATTGCTGCATTAGTAGGTGCGGTTGTAGTATTAGTATTGAGAAGTCACTTGTAAAGTTTAAAATGGTTGATAGATCTTATGAGCATGGGATAGAATGGGCAAATGACAATTACCTTTTTTTCATTAGTGAACTTATTGGCTTATTTTGGGGACAGATCATCAAGATTCAGATTCAGATTCAGTTTATTTGCCATTTTCAGTAAAAACACCACATTGGAATACATTAGCAAAAGTCTCCAGTGTGCACAGACAAATACAGACATAAAACAACATTAAAAGACAAAAATAAAACTAATAAAACAGTAAACAAATGTCACTGTGAAATCGATCGACTAAAACAGTTTCAAAACAAGTGCAAATCATTAAAGTGCTCTGTTCAAACTGATAACAGCTTGTGGATAAAAACTGTTAGCGTAACGAGATGTCCTGCATCTCAGAGAGCGATATCTTCTGCCAGAGGGAAGAAGCTGGAACATGGCTTTCCCAGGGTGGCCAGAAGAGTCATTAACAATCCTAAGAGCTTTGTTTAAAAGTCTGGATTTATAAAGAACCTCCAGAACAGGAAGCTCACAGCCCACAGTCCTCTTTGCAGAGCGGAGCACCTTGTTTAAAGATCTTGATGTTTCCAAACCACACAGACACAGAACCAACAAGTTAACTCTCAATGGTGCAGCGATAAAAGTTGAGCAGAATCTTAGAGTTAGTGGTAAAATCTCTAAGTTTACGCAGAAAGTAGAGACGCTGACGAGCTTTCTTAACAACTCGGTCAGTGTTTTTAACCCATTTCAGGTCGTTAGACAGAGTTAAACCCAGAAACTTGCACTCCTCTACAATCTGCACTCGGGAGTTGTCGATTACGACAGGCAAATGAAAACTATTGCGACTGAAATCAAAGAACAGTTCATGTTTTCAATGCGTTCAACTGGAGGTTGTTAGTTTGACTCCACTGAACCACATTTTGTATCTCTGCTCTATAAGAGGATTCATCATTGTCACTGATGAGACCGATGATGGTGGTGTCATCAGCATATTTGATGATCAAGTTTGAGTCAGAGGAGGACACACAATTGTGAGTGTACAAAGTAAAAAGCAAAGGAATCAAAATACATCCCTGCGGAGAACCAGTGCTCACAGAAACAACATCAGAAAAACAGTCATTGATTTTCACTCTCTGAGATCTGTCAGTTAAAAAGCTAAAAATCCATTTACACATGGCAACACTTAAACCGAGAGACATGAGCTTTTCAATCAGTTTACCTGGGACAAGGCAGTTAAAAGCAGAGCTATAATCGATGAAAAGCATTCTCGCGACAGATTTACTAGTGTCCAAGTGACTGTAGACAGAGTTCAGAGCAAAGGAGATGGCATCCTCCACACTCCTGTTCTGTCTGTAGCAAACTGGAGCGGGTCAACACTCACAGGGATCTGGCTCTTAATGAAGTCCAGCACAAGCCGCTCAATAGTTTTCATAAGAACAGACGTGAGGGCCACAGTCAATGGACCAAATGGACCAAATCAGAAGGATGGCGTCTTTTCTATTGCAGGAAAAGTCAGTAGAAAAGGTCAGTAAACATTTGATCTTTTGATAAATTGTTGCTATATTCATTCAAAGCATTTCAAATATATCTAATCATTTGTGGTAAAGCCTGCATGCCAATACTCAAAAACAATTCATTACTCACTGGTTTATTAACAAAACCCAAACTGTAAACTGCTTTTTTTCACCTTGATGCAAGATTAAGATCCAGATTAAATTCTCTGAAAATCAAGATGGCCTCTTTAATGTCGGTATAGTGGCTGTTGTTACAAGTGATCTCCAAGTAAATAAACAAAACCATGGCTTACTCTACATTTCGATACATGTGGCATTCAGTTGGAATCTGTAGCTTACACACTGGAAACTGGAGTCATGTTTAAAGCATCTTTTTACATACATTCTCTATGGTGCCGAAGCCAGGTCCAAGTGAAACCTCATCTCTTGGGATTAATAATTAAAGATGGTTGAGAGTTTGGTTCCCAGGGACGATGGGAGCAGACACACACATCGGTCTGATTCAAACCCAGCAGAGGCTTCTCTTCAAGGTGAGCTTCAGTGCTTTCTTTCATCTAGTCTATGGCATATTTTGCCAAACTTTTACTAGAAGTAGAACAGAAGCTTCCACAAATGTTCTCCTTTCTTGTTTGTATGGAACCGGTCTCTTTTTGCCTTAATTCTGAAATGTCTTCTCTGTCAGTTTTTTGACCAAAATGCTAGTTTCTAAATCATGTTGTCTTTTAGAGTTCCCAAAACTTTATACTTTATATGGAAAGTCACGTACGTTGAGAGTTACAAAGAAAGCCGCTGCACCAGGACGTAGCTCAGCAAAGTTCTAATGGTATGATTTATTTCAGAATGTGCTGAGAAATGTTCAATCTTACATCTGCTAATGATTTAAAGGCAGATGAGGAGTTCAGGACAGTGCTCCAATGCCAATGCAGTCTTATATAAGAATTGAATATTAATCGCTACTCTGTTTTTCTTTTTTCAGTGTGGAGCACAACTTGATCAGAGTCGACAAACAAGATGTATATGAATCCAGCTGGCTCTCAAAGAGGATATACTCTGACGTACCTGGGGAAGAAAGTTGGAAGACGTCATTCAGTAGCACCAGCCGGAAAGCAACGTAGGCTGCACTCCACCTTGTTCCACATCTCACCCATTCATTTATTTTAATTTCCTTTGATTTGAGCACATTTTAAACAGAATAGTTTACAGATGAGACCATAGACTGGATTCAGAGGGGAACAAACAATGTTGCAGTATACATTTTTTCCCTGATGATGATTAAGTTAGTTCTTGTTGGAGGATGTATGACTTCAACATCCTGGTCCTAATCTGTGTGTGTATTTGTTCAGTTGCCTGGGAGACGACTTCACCGGCATCGGAGGAGCCCGGTGTGGTGCCACGGTGCGGTGCAGCCGGCTCAGCCATGGTGCAGGAGCTTCCAGGAAGTATCCCAGAGTACTGTGACTATCCCCAGCCCCAGCCTCAGCACTCACAGAGGGGCCTCAGGGGCCACAGCCAAGGTGCCACCAGTTCTGAACCCCACAAAAAACCACATGTCACAATCTGAGTCTCCACTCAGATGAGTGGAATGACCTCATTAAGTGTTAAAGTCTAAATATTTTTTTAACTTAATCCAACTACATAATCCACTGTTAAATAGACATCAATAATATTTTATAATGCAAACCCACTTGTATTAACTAAGCCTAACTATGTTAAATAAATACATAAAACGAATGTTAAATGTATGTTAAAGTTGTTAATAAATATATCATAACATTTTCTGTACTGTGTTGCATGCATTATTTGTTCATCTTAATCAAACCATAATATTTGATAAATGCACACCGTAAATTGTTTATAAATAAACTTGCATTTCAAATAAGCCATAAAACAGAACCATGTAAAAAACAAAGCATTACCCACAGCACTGAGATGGGCTCTATGTACAGATAGATGCCTAAGCTGTTTTTAGAAACATGGTGAATGAATCTGCTTCAGCCAACACTTTAGGAAGAATCTGTTGATAACGTGTTTCTTTTTCACCTCTCACATATGTGTTGTGGAAAGTAAAAGTGTTAATAGAAGTGTGAGACGTCGGCCCATCTGTTGAACACTTTCTCCTGTTGAAGCTGGCGCCCGCCATAGGTCTGTGTGGATGAAGAGGTGGGCCGCTCTCAGGCGATGGTTCAGGGGCAGTCGGAGAACCCACCGTAGACCAGAGTTAAATCAGGGTATGTTTCTAATCTAGTGAATGAGGTGCACAAAACTAAGTGAGCTGTAATCCTCTATGTTCAGGGAGGACTGCTTCAGAGCAAACTGTAGAGAGCGGTTTAGAGAGGTCTCAGGATGTGATTTATATCCCATATGAGTCTGCAGAGATGTGCGTCACTCAGGTACATTACACACCCTGGAAATCTTTACAATACCACACACAACATACAGTATATTGGGGACTCATGCAAAATGTATAATGTATTTTTGGAATACATTACTCTTTCTTTTGGTGGTATACAGAATAAAGTTACTTTGTGTATTTCATCACGCAATTGTGAAAAGATTTTGCTCAAAACAAAGGAGAATGTCTGTCTACAAAAATGGTGCAAAAACAAAACTGTTTTTAATGAATTGCAGTATTTTCGCACTATAACATTATGCAAATGAGTGTCAAAGTATTTAAAAAAAAATCCCAAATACAGTGCTCTGATTGGACCCTGTGAAGGAACATGTTACAAAATCCATTTTCAAAGTATTCTCCTCAATACTGAATAGAATTGGCAGACTTTCACTCAGGGCACAAACTGTTTCTCTCACTCACATGGTCACTGCTGCTCATCTGATCTCTATAAATGGCATCATATCAACAATGCACATGAGTGACTGTTTCATTATAATCCTGCGTTCTCTTTCTAGTGGCTACGTAACATTATCACATGTTTTATCATTTGAATAGATAGCCCATGATATTGAAAGACTTAAGAGGAAACATCTGGATATAGTGAAGGAGCTAGAGAGTAGCTTCAAAGTTACGGCAAGAGAAAACCAGGTCATTATTTTGGGTAAACGTTTTAAAGTCAAAGTATTTAATTTACTTATTTTTATTTTTTTAAACGTGTGAGCAGGAATGTATTACACATCGTATGAGGTCTCATTACCAAGCCAAACTGAAAAGCCTGAAGAAGATGCTTCTTCTTTATCAAGAAAAAGTGGAGCAAAAACATGCTGACTTGGACAAACAATTAGTGGTTAGCCCTTTATTACCCTTTGAAAGTTGTGATACTGTTGGATTGTGTATGATGTGAGTATATTTCTCTTATAGGCGTTGTCTGCTCAGAACAGGCAGCTGCTGGAGGAACTGAGAGCTGAAAAAGGGAGGAGTAAAGAAGAGTCCTTGCAGTGGCAGAGGGAAAAGGTTACATAACACACTCGCTGCTCCCCCGCGTGGTGAGAAGCGTGTACAGCAACATACCCACTGAAGCTCACCCTTTATTCCATCAGAGCAAAATTATGGAAATGTTTTCAAATAGACTGGACATGCTCCATCAGCATCAGGCCTCAAGTGAGTGCGGTTAATGTGTGAGAAAGAATATCACACACAACATTTTAAATAGAAGTTTAATAGATTTAATTGGACATATTTGTCCACTTTTTCTACTGCATGGTCCCTGAAGCATTGCAGGAATTGCAGACAGCACGGCAAGAAGTAGGGAAAGTTCAAGAGATGCTCATTCAGTCAGCACAAGCCAAAGAAGAAGAGGTAAGTTTTGGTGTAAAATTAATTTGGTTTATCAATTCTCTTTTTGTAGTAGTAGTAGGAGTAATTTTATTTCAGTCAATAACATCAACGTAATTCATAAACTTTCTTGTTTATGTCATAAAACATAGTTATGACTCAAATGGTTTAGTCCGAAGCGTATTTATTTTTGCCTAAACCTCACAAAAACAAATAAAAAAACTGGCGATGGCTAAATAAAAAGCAGTCAAATGGTTAAATAAAAGCAATCAATCATCATTCATAATGCTTTTGCCTCTTCATTGTTTGATGAATGATACATATTTTATTCTTATGTAGCATTTATACATGTACTTAATACAGGCCTGCAAAGACTCCGATTGTCCTTTAGAGGCCACTAAACTGCATCTTGAGGTGTTGAAGGAGAGTCTGTGCCAAAGGGAGAGGGAGATCACTGAGTTCATGGAGCCTCCTGAGCCTCTGCCTCCATGCAGCGTCCTACTGCCTGCTGTCATCCAACAGGTTCTCTTTTGTTTTTCATACAACTTTAAATACATTTCAAAATCCACATAGTGTCTGTGTGCTCTCAACTACATGGGAGGAGCTTGGAGTAGAGATGCTGCTCCTCCACATCCAAAGAAGCCAGCTGAAGTGGCTTGGGCATCTCCTTTGGATGCCCAAGACTGCTGTCCCACAACCAGCGCGCAACACATAAAATGGGAGAAAATGGATGGATATTAAATATTGATTTACTCCTCCAGGCTAATGCTATTTGTAGAGTCACAGAAGAAAGCAACACACTTTTAGCCAGATTGATTGATGAAAATCAAGTTGGTCTGAAAGAGGTCCAGGACAAACTTAACCATCTATACAGCGAGAGAGTAGATAAGGAAGGGTGAGATCAGATTCATTTAACATTTGAAAGCTGCAATTTACAGGTGTTTTTAATCAATATCATTCTTTCTTTTAGGTCAGAAGAATATGAGTCACAAATATTTTTTCAACAAAAAATTGAGAAAGAGTTACAAGTTACTCGTTTAGCTTTGTTCTGCATCAAAACAAGAAACATCCCTCCCGTTAGTGGTAAGTAGTTAGTATATGTTCTGTCATTTCAGAAGTTGTGTGTGCGAGTAAAGTGTATCTTTCACAAGAAGTCATTGTCAGAGATTATTTTTAGTTTCATTGTCTGAGAAAATTGAGTTCATATTCACGTTTACTTTTATTAGATGGTGCTTTGACCAATACCAGATCACTAATTTATGATTTCCCGTTGATTCTTAGTTAGAGTATTTGGGTTCCCCAACGCAGTCTTTTTTGAGGAGAAAGATACAACATTTTACTTTTTGATCTTGGTATATTTTTTTGCCAGAGTGTGATGCTATATCTGAATTAGAGGAAATTCTTGGACAAGGAACACTCCAAACCAAAGAGGGACTTAAAAGTTTTGCTGAGAAGTTTCTTGTGCTCCAGGACGAGGTATAATAATTATTTATTATTATTATTTTATGTAAATAATTAAGCCTCTCTTTTTTCATTTGTGTCAGATAAAATTGGCAAAAGAAGAAAAAAAAAAGATAATTGAAAACTACACATCTGAAAGGACATTGAGAAAGAAGTATTACAATACAGTGGAAGATCTTAAAGGTAGTTGTGTTTGTATTCTGTTTTTCCTATTGTTAATGTTTATTTGTACATATTTATCTATTTTTAATCAGGTAAAATACGTGTGTTTTGTCGTATCCGCCCTGTAAATCAGACAGAGGCAGCTCAGGGCAGTGCAGTAGTTGTGAAGAAAGTGGATGATTATTCAGTGATTGTGGAGACCCCCAGAGGACAGAGGGAGTTTCAGTTTGACCAAGTGTTTAGTGCTGAGGCCACTCAAGATGACCTGTTCCAAGATGCTAGCCGGTGAGACCACATTCTATCTAAATTTATAACAAAGGTATTTTATTGTCATTATTCATATTGTTAAATTATACCACTATTAGCAGCTTACTACGTCTGTAAGCTTTTTCCATTTTTAATTTAGTGCATTGCTGCCACAAATAAAATGCCAAAAATGTACCTTGCTATTATGAACAGTTACCCGCTTGTTGCCATGGAAAGATGATTTCTTGGAATGTCCTTCCATAATGTGTGTATATTATTTTATTTACCTGCGGAAGTTTTTACTGCTCTAAAACTTGAATTCTTACGTTGGGTCAGCTCTCGTCTCTGCAGATATAACATTTAGAGAGACCCTTCAGAAAACTTCAAACATTGATTCAGATTCAAATGTTTTCCTCCAGGTTAATCCAGTCTGCGATAGATGGCTACAATGTTTGTATCTTTGCATATGGCCAAACCAGCACGGGAAAGACGTACACTATGATTGGCGACAAAGAAAGAAAGAATCCTGGAATCATGCCGAGATCCTTCAATGCTATATTTGACATCATAAAAGAAAACAACACCAAATTCAACTTCAAGGTACAATGAACAAAAAAATACTCCATGTTCCAAAATGTTAAATGGCACATAAAATAGTAAAAGTGACATTTCAAAAAGTGGTGCCAATACTCATTGTGTCAGAGGAAAAATGTTGTCATAATAAATATAATTTTGGCCCTCAGACTTGTTGGCAAAATGTGGTTAGCAATTAGTTAGTAGCATTATTATGACAAATATTAAACGTATATTCGAGTGTTTTCCCAAATTTGAGGAAGGAACCGCCTTCTCCACTTTTTGAAAAAATTTGCGTATCTTGTTTGATGAGGACGTATCACCAGAATGATTAACAATCAGGAGAACCAATAGTCTTGATGAACCACCGGGGAGTAGAAAATCCTCCTATATGCCTTCAATATTATGACATCATATTTTTACTGTATTACATCATGATGTTTGTCGATGATATAAGACTAAATATGTAATGGTTATTATTTTTCTATTTATTTTTTTTACAATTTACGGGACTGATATAGACAGCCATGACAAAAATACTGTCAGTTGATAATACTTTCAGTCTTAAGATTGAAATGACTGGTTTGTGGAGCTGAAATGTGCTTTATTGAGTTACATAGGTCCATGCTCACCATCCGTTAATGTGACATCAAGTTGACCACAATCCATACCTTTGCTTTAGGTGTCTTCATATATGCTGGAGCTGTACAACGACCGGCTGCAGGACCTGTTCATGAATCCGGGAGGAGAGACACAGGGCAAACGGGTGGAGATCAAGAGGAACAGGAAGGGAGTGGTGTTCGCACAAGGAGCCGAGACCAGGGAGGCGTCCAGCGCTCAGCAGCTCAATGCCCTATTTCAACAGGCCTGTGCAAACAGACACATCGCAGCCACCAGTAAGAGCTATGTCAGGTTGAACAGATTCAGGCAAAACAAAACTAGTGAGCCTGTATTACAGCCTCAAGGGATTCGTTATATTTCTGTTCATTCATCCATCCATTTTCTCCCGGAATGTCTCCAATTTCTGTAGTCTGCAGGGACACCAGACTTCCCTATCCACTTTGGTTCAGTACATGTATATTTTTCTAGGGTTTTTGATAGACATTTTTGTAGATAATTATTCTTACTTGTTAGATGCCTAGTATGTTACTAATGGACATTTTTACATGTTATTCTCCCTGTAACAATTGTGTTCCCTGCATCAACCCATATATATTTCTTGTGACCACTAATTGGAAAACATCCTTGCTTTGTTCAATTTAAAGAAGTATATACATAGTTACACACGATTTACATTACTTACTTTTTGAGTAGAATTTTGTGTCACATCCCACAATGATAATGCACGCATGATAAATATCATTATCGACCATGCTGGTAATTATAGCAACAACTATAGTTTAACTTATGTGTCTTGTATTGGCCTTTATTATACACAATGTTATTTTGTTACTTTTGAAGTGTATTGCCTCCTTTGTTCTGATAGAGATGAATGTAGAGAGTTCACGATCCCACCTTATTGTTGGCATCCAAATTGAGAGCAAAAACCTCACCAATGGGAGTGTAAGCACTGGAAAACTGAGCCTTGTGGATCTGGCGGGAAGTGAGCGAGCAGCCAAAACAGGGGCGAAGGACCACAAACTCAAGGTTTACTCTAAATTTACTTAATATGTTTTATTCTTTTGCTCACAAACAACAAATGTGACGTTTCTCGTAGGAAGCCAACTCAATAAACAAGTCGCTGAGTGCCTTGGGCGATGTGATCTCAGCCTTGTCCTCTGAACTGCCACATGTCCCCTACAGGAATAGCAAACTTACACAGGTAAAGGCATGGCTGTGATTACGTTGTTGCCTTCTCTAATGAGGTGGCCAAGGTTATAAAAGGGCAAAATGCATAACAAAAAAATCAAATATAAAGAGTAGAAAGTGCAAATATTTAAAAGTAAGGAGTATAAGGGGAACAAAATACTTAACCCCTCTGTACACATATATGTTATGTCAAACAGCCCTTTTATTTTCCTTGATAGATCATGCAGGATTCCCTTGGAGGAAATGCCAAAACACTGATGATTGTAAATATATCACCATCTGAATACAACCTCGATGAGACGCTGACTTCACTGATGTAAAATCAAAACAACAATATTATGATAACTATGTAAACTGTACAAACCCTTATTTCTCTGCTTTTCATTTGTAGATATGCAACTAGAGTGAAAACCATCACTAACAACTCTCAGAGATTTGTGGATAGCAAAGAAATAGCTCACTTAAAAGAGGTGAGTTTCCTGACCATTTACTTTTATGAAATAACTTATTATGTTGATACCTCTTATGCAATCTGATTTGTAGATAATTTCCAAACTCAAGGCTGGCCAGACTGTGGAAGAGGAAGATATTTGAATCTCTTGCTCAAAAGGTTTCAACAGAATGAATGGCCTTGACTGGTACAAATATGCACTTGGCAAAGCATGTGGTCTTAAAAGATGCATTATTTAGTTAGAACATGTCTATATTATGCAACACTGGAAGAAAACAATTCACTTTTCAACTATTTGTGTGTAAAAATAGCTTCAACCTGAAATGCTAATGTTCTGTGAAGAGCACTTGTGAGATTGAGTGCTGGTAAAAATGCTTCACGACAGGCCATGAAGTGTGTGCATTGCTCGTTAGCGCAACATGCAAATGAAAGAATGTGTGACCCACATCTTGAAATATTATGTTTTTGTGTCACATACCCTGCTGTAATAATGTGCTGCAAACAAATAAATCAAGTAATGTTGGGATATAACACTGTATCAACTGGAGTGTTGTTATCTATAGGTCATAGTACACACACAGGCACATGAACACACATGCAAACACACACACACACACACACAGGGGCACATGAACATGCATGCAAACACACACACACAGGCACATGAACACACACGCACACACAAACACAGCAGTCTTTTGTCCTGTTAAGTAACTATTTGATTCAAAGTTATCTAATAAAACTTGCAGGATAGATGTGTGACACAATAACCAATGAATAAGGGATCTGTTGTTGTAGCTGTGGCCAAATTGTAGTTTTAATCTATTTCTAAACAAGGATTAATTAGAGGCGTTGATTTGCCTCAGTGAGTAATTAACAAAGGACGAAGCCCGTTTTCATTTTGAGATCAAATAGACCCAGACAAAGTTATGTGGTCGCATTGTTGCAGCGAGACAGTGAAACAGCAGGACATCCACATCAAGAGAAAATAATTGGACCAGCAGGATTGTTCATATAGAGATTACTAATTAGTATGATATTAATTAGTTGTCTATAGATAGTAAATCATAGAACTAGATTAACAATTATACAATTCTAAATTTGCCACAATATTTAAGCTTAAAATTAAGAGTTTCAGCAATCTACCTCAGTAATATTAACTTGTTTTCCTGTATACATTTTTTAAAGCTGGAGTAACTTTGAAAGCGCAGCAATGGAACTATGGAACAAAATCCATATAAAAACTGCCTGGATCTAAAATAGTTTGGTTTTATCACAAGTTTTCACATGTATTTATTGGTCTCTCCACAGCTTTATATCTTTCCCAGATAGAAAAGTGAAAAAGAGGACCACCCTCACTCAGCCAATCAGCTCTCAGCCCAAAGATTCAAAAAGTGACTTACAGGACTCTTCCTAGATTTGTAAAAGATAATATGATTTCCAATAATCTGAAGATTTGTTTACAACATTGTTCTTTTACATATTTATTTCAGATGGGACAAACGAGTATCATTTATGTTTTGAAAGGAGTAAGGTAGCCAAGCTTTAAGGCCTGCATAATAAGGCTTCATTATTCGATTAACTGGGTTAGGGTTATGGGATTCTGAAAGGAGCAGGGGCATGTGTCACAGTTGTGGATATAAAGCAGCTCAGAGGGCTCCAAACAGAGAGAGCAGAGGGACGCAGCTACAACATGCCTCTCACAGGACTGGACCTCACTGAAGCCACAACTCCCGACGGTAACTGAATACATGCTGCTTAATCACATCTTTTCCCATTTATCCCACACATATTATTTGTATTTCTCATTTCTAGATGGACAGTTTGAGCTGATTCATCAGCCAGGCTCTCAGACGGGATACAAAGAACAAAACCCACTTTGTTGTACTTCTCGACCAACAGACTCGCTGCCTATGCCCATTCACCAAGTGGCAATCCAGTGCACTAAGGTAAGATTCATTTTAAAAATTCTATTAAGCCTTTTTACATCAGATAACCTATTTGTGAAGATCTATGGGTTTCAGCTTCCTGCAACAAGTACACTGCAAATAATGACAAAAAAATAAGTCTAAAAGTGCTTACATTTGGCTAAATTTATCTCAATTTGAGCAGTTTTTGCGAATGGCCATGTCATAATCTATTTCTTTTTATCAGACTTAAGATAAGAAATTAATTTCAACTGCATTTGAAATACATCAACTGTTTGTCCCATTGGCAAATCTTGTTTTACTCAATTAAAGATAAATACTTTTAGTGCCTTTTATTTTATAATCTTTTGCCATGGATATATTTACATTTTTGCAAAGGGGATAATTCTTGAATGTTCAGAAACTCTGAAAGTCCATTTAATTTGGTCTCTATTATTAAGCATTATACATACCAGAAAAAAACGTTTACCTCTTGTCATGTTCCAGTTGTTTATCAATAATGAGTGGACTGAGTCGTGCGGTGGGAGGAAAATTCCTGTGCTTAACCCTGCAACTGGAGATCTGCTTTGTGAAGTGGAGGAAGCCACTGCTGTAAGTCTTGAATGACCACTCCATCATTAATGGATTGTTTTACATTGTTCCAATTGTTCGGGTTTCAAAACAATGTTTCTAGTCATTTGTCCAGTTATAGTAAGTCTTACATGCTTGAGTTTTAATTCAACATTAAAACCTGTAAATAAAAAAACCACCCATCCAAAGATTAGATACAACAGTGAGGTTTAGTAAAAGGAGATAATTCCTATTATCAAACCATTCAAGAATGATATTAAGGCTTATAGCAAGCAGAATGTAGTCCTTGTAGAATGTCACTTTCAAACGTCTTACAGGAGGATGTGGACAAAGCTGTTCAGAGCGCTCGAGCAGCGTTTGAAGTGGGCTCTTCGTGGAGATGCATGGATGCCTCAGACCGGGGACTCCTGCTCAACAGATTGGCAGACTTGGTGGAAAGAGACAGACTTTTGATTGCAGTAAGAAATACACAGTAAAATAATAATTGAATAAATAAAGCATCACTCACAGCTCTTGTCTGCAGACGCTCGAGGCTTTGGACAGTGGAAAAGTGTTTCTGATGGCTTACTTTGTAGACCTGATGGCTACAATCAAAACACTAAGATATTATGCTGGATGGGCAGACAAAATCCACGGCAAAAATATCCCTGCAGGTAGATGCTCCTTAACTTTTGGGCATATGTTCAAAACTGCATAAGAGCTTTATAAATAGTGTCGTTTTTTTACAACCTAATAAATATTGTGATAAATTCCAATATTTACACTTTTCTGATAGAGGATCTGCCACTTGCCTGTGTCCATATAAATATTGGTATTATAACGGTATGGTCCTAACTTTAACATTATTGTGTCCATGTACATTGGAGATAAGCACAGCTCATAAGTGAAAAAGGAAAGTCCGGTCACTAGTTGTTGAGCAGTAAAAACATTTGAAGATATGTTTAAAAAGGTATATTCCAGCTTCCAGGGACAAACTTCTTCAATAAAGTAGTTTACACTTTTAACCGTTAAAGGGACATTTTCAACTTTTTTATGTGGATAGAAAGTTTCTCTTTTGGTCTATTTGATGTGTGGTCAGCAAGGCACCTTTATTATCCATCACAGCAATCACTAAGATGCGATAGGATCAATTGTTTGGAAGGGTTTCTCTCCAACACCGACAAAACTACTGCAGCACTGGAGACACAGTCGTGATAATAAGTGAAGGCGTTATGCTTTTTCACTATTTTTCACATTCAAAGTTGCATGATGCACCTTTGAGCGGGAACCTCATTAGTGATTAGGCTAAGTATAATTACAGAAAACATCTCATCGTATTTAAAATAATTCCAACTTTTAATGAAAAAAGTGCACACTAAAAATATTGAGACTGAAAAACATTTAGTTCCAGCCATTTATAAGTTCATATAGTAATTGCACCCATGGCTTATCATAAAATATATTTACTGATTTATTTGTTGGTATTAGAGTAGTTTGAGAATATCTTTTAAAAGTTATAATATTATTTTTGTCATCCTTTAAGAATACTGCCGTTGTGATTTTGGACATCAGATTCTAATACTTGTATTTGTATCCTCAGATGGTGAATATTTCACATATACTCGACATGAACCCATTGGAGTGTGTGGGCAGATAATACCAGTAAGTAAACTACTAAGCAGTATGTGTAAAAAAACAGAATGTAGAGTTAGTATCAGTGCTTCAAAGTACTTAACTTACTCAGACATGCCTGTATCTTAGTGGAACTTTCCGGTAATGATGTTTGCATGGAAGATTGCTCCTGCTCTATGTTGTGGGAACACTGTAGTCATCAAGCCGGCTGAACAGACCCCATTATCAGCCCTGCACATGGCCGCTCTCATCAAAGAGGTGCTTTCTTCAGTTATTACTTTCTTTTTCCTTCCCACGATAAAAGGCCGCAGATCAAAAGGTTTTAAAATTACACTGATAAATTATGCTTAAGGGGAAAATAACACACACTTTGTCTTCCTTTGTTTAGGCAGGGTTTCCTCCAGGTGTGGTGAATGTGGTGCCAGGCTATGGTCATACTGCAGGTGGCGCCATTGCACATCACATGGGCATAGACAAAATAGCATTCACTGGATCTACTAAAGTCAGTATTATTCACAAACAACAACATAAACATCTACTGCTTGTAATAGTAACTGTATATAATATATTGTAGGTTGGAAAACTCATCCTAAAGGCGGCGGGTGAAAGCAATTTGAAAAGAGTTACACTAGAGCTTGGAGGCAAAAACCCAATAATTGTTTTTGCTGATTGTGACAGTGAGTCGGATATATTATATCCTGGGCTTATTTTTTTACACTTGTTTATTTTTATTGGATAATATGTCTTGAATGAAGACACATTTCTTGTTTATAGTGGAATACGCCGTGGAGCAGGCCCACAGTGGTCTGTTTTTCAACCAGGGACAGTGCTGCCTGGCAGGATCACGGGTCTATATTGAAGAGTGCATCTATCAGCAGTTTGTCCAACTCAGTGTAGAAAAGGCCAAGGCCAAAGTTCTGGGAAATCCACTGCTACCAGGGGTCGACCAGGGACCACAGGTACATCCTATATACAGCCCACTAACATTACTCCAATGCTAAACTGTGCTGTGATCAATTCTGATTAACACTGACTTAAAGTGAATGTCAGTATATTTTCAAACTGAGAGAGAGTAAAATTTTATGAAGACATGCACTGATAAAACCTGCCCATGTTCACCTCCCTTGTTGGTCAAAATAAATTAAAATCCTTAAGGCCCCTCATCATTGGTTTAACAATTCACCTCCAGCAAATCCTATTGGTCATAATTATGCTCAGAGCAGGGAAAATCTATATATATTATTCTTGAAAAATACTCACAGTACACAACTCGCCAACTTTTCAGAATCTGCCACTTGATTGAGTCCATCTAAATGTTATTGAAAATGATCAATATTATTATGATTCATATATATTCTAAATAGATTGACCAGAAGCAGTTTGAAAAGGTGATGAGATTGATCGAGAGTGGAAAGCGGGACGGGGCTACGCTGGAGTGTGGTGGCTCTGCGTGGGGCCAGCGTGGGCTTTTCATAGAACCCACAGTGTTTTCAAATGTGACAGATGACATGCACATTGCCAAAGAAGAGGTCTGTTCACAGCCTGCAAAAACAGTTCATTATCAAAATAAACCTGGGGATAATAATAACAAAGATGTTTCCTTAATTTACAGATTTTTGGTCCAGTGCAGTTATTAATGAGTTTCCAAAGTATCTCAGAGGTCATAGAGAAAGCGAACAACACACAGTATGGTTTGGCAGCAGGAGTGTTTACTTCTGATATTGATAAAGCCCTCACAGTCTCTTCTGTGTTACAGGCCGGTACAGTGTGGTAAGTGTTTATGTAATATATGTAACACAATTCACTCATTTATGCTACTACATACAAATGTGTTTATTAGGGTTAACTGCTACAACGCCATGAGCGCACAGTGTCCTTTTGGCGGCTTCAAAATGTCTGGAAACGGCAGAGAACTGTGAGTATTGAACTTTTTTATTAAGCTTCAATCAAGATCAAGTCCCACTGAGATTTCGGTACTTTATATGTGATGCTTTTAGATATTTTTTTGATGAAAGTTGGAATTTCATTTCAGAGGTCAATATGCCCTACAGGAGTACACGGAGGTCAAGGCGGTGACTGTCAAACTCTCACAAAAGATCTAAAATCTCATTATAGTTTTCTTTATTTTGTCATTTGATTTTCAGTAAAGAACTTATAATATTAATGTAATGGGATTTTACATAATTGACTGTATAACAAGTACAATGTTATAGTAGACTTTCTAATAATAGATTTTTGTCATTTAAATGGTTTAGTGAAACTCATAATTGTGCACGCATTTGAAATCACACCTTTCCTACATACCCTTTATATTGTGGAAATTAAATGTTTTGTAACTTGTGATAATCATTTGTGAATGTATTTGTCAATAGTACATTGTCAAACGTTTGCTTTAATTGAAATAATAATTTACAAAACTATAATACAAGACTATTTACAACTTATATGGATTTCTGTATGAAATCAAAACACTTTAAACAACCAGTAAACTGATTCTGAGCGTCCTATACACAGTGACATCTCAGTATTGTTCTATAATGAATACTGTACATTGAATAATGAATACAAATACAATAAAACTTGAAACCATGTATGTGTTGAGTACTTTTATCTGGGCCCTCCTCGGCTGCGCTCTTTCCCAGGCTGAGTGCCTTTAGTGTTGGCAGCAGGAGCCCCTCGAGGCCCTGGGGCCCGAGTCACTGCACCTTTGGGGTTCTGAGCCGCCAGGGAGACATCCTTTTGTAAATCCACCTCTTTCTCGCCCTTTTCTTTCTTTTTCTTTGTTTTGGGTGACTTACTCCCTTTATCAACTACCACCTCTGAAAACAATCAAAAATAGTATACAAAATTAGGTCGTGAAATATTACAATTATGTTCACATGTTTACATGCACAGACAGAATACTTTCAATCACAAGCAAAAACTGTGGTGGTGGTCTACTTTATTGATCCTAATTTCAACAAAAACTACCGGGGCCTTATTTATCAAACGTCATGGAGATGTTTGCTTGAAGTGAAAGTACAAACAATACAATAACTTGAACAAACTTACTCAATTCTTTTTTATGAGCTCACATCACTTTCTTCTCAATATCTGAAAATGATTCTATGATGTACTTACCCTAACCCTAACCCTAACCCAAGTCAATTTGTTTGTTAATCTTTCCAAAATTTAACAAAAAAACTGATGTACGTAACATTTCTTTATGCATGCTGTTTATGAATAAGGCCCCAGTGATTATTGGCTCACAAGTCATCAAGGTTTAAATGAATGGCTACTAATGCTAACCTTGACAATTGGCTTCACACAATCACTCACCAGGAGTGGGAAAAAACATCTCTTATAGTTCATACTCTCTCTCAAGAAAAAGAAAATGTATTCGTATAAGTATGCAAACTTAAAAGTGCAGCTGTAATGTTTCTATTGTTTACCTGGAGGGGGTTCTTCCTCTTCTGGTGGAGGAGCCAAAGACCTATTCGGGAGCAGTGCCTCTAAGTCTTTCATCACTTGGTTTGTACTGTCCTTGTTGTTTCTTCTGTTCTTTTCTTCATCTCGGGCCTAAATAGATGACAGTTGATTGTAAATTATATTCATTGTCAATAATACAAACTGACATTAATAGTGACTGACCATTTGCATTTTCCGTTTAAGATCAAAGTTTGCTTGTTGGTATCCTTTTGAGGTTGTATTAAGGTAGTAAAGAGCCAGACTGAGAAAAGAAAACAGCAGTCTTCAGTTTTCACGCACTCAGACAAACTGCAGCACATGGAGAAGGAATATAAAAAGTGGAATATGTATACAAGGAGGCAATCTGAATGCGACAGCCAAGGAAACTAAAAAATAATCTCTCTAACATTATTCTGTGAGTAACAAAGTAAGAGTAGCTCACACTTTGTGGCGTCTCTGATCAACCGTGGTGGATAAAATTATTCCTTTTTTGAATGGGTGTAGTGGTTCCTTTAACATTCCTAATATTGTTCCCCATTTTCCTCCGACAGTGGCTATGAACAATAAATAATAATGCATTTGTTTTATAAACTGCTCGCGCTTTTCTCCACAATCAAAGACTCTTAACATGGCATAATAGGGAAGATTGACAGTGGGTGCGGCCTCTCCGACCACCACCATCACTCACTCACCAACAGTTTCACACTTTACTGCCGCAGCCACATGTTGGACTTAGAGTAAATAGTATCGCATAATGTCACCAGGGAAAGTAGTGTAGGCCTAATCGGTCTTTCATGTATTTCTCAATATGATTCCCCATTGACATGCACAGAAGTGATGTTGAAATATGTTTTTAGTACAGCACTACTATACTATTCATATCTGTCTGAGCTGTTATCTCTGTATGCTCTTGTCAGATCAGTGAGGTCCGAAAACCAACTTTTGTTAAACGTGGCCCGGTCTCGTCTCAAAACTTGAGGAGACCGAGCCTTTTCTGTTGCTGCCTCCAAACTGTGGAATAGTCTACCTCCGAGTCCGTTTTGAGTCTAGTCTAAAGACCAATTTTTACCATTTCACTTACATGTATTTGTTTGTTATTTATGCTGTTTTTTTAACGTATTTTTATCTTTTGTGCCTGTGAAGCATTTTGGGCAACTGGTGTTGTTGTAAATGTGATATACAAATAAAGTTGACATTGACATTCAACTATACATTAAGTTTAGGATTTATTTTCAACCTTGCTAAGCAAAAGATATAAAAGTATACTTACATCATAAGAAGAACTGCAGGCATGATCAGGCCAGGGTTTGTGGCATATGTGAATATATTTCCTATAAAGGCAGGGAGATCGTTTTCTATGGTTTCCATAACAATGTCGTACATCTTCTCCTGACCACTGAAATGAAAATAGAAAATCAAATGTAATTGGTGTAATATATAAGCAATATACAATCACAGGTTTCCCTCTATTCATTCTATCATACAAGTTTTTACAGAGATAAGTCCAAGTCTCAAGTCAAGTCTTGAGTCTCAAGGGGGCGCGTTCATGTCGCAAGTCTGTAAAAATAGCAACTTATAAGTCCAACTCAAGTCCGAGTCTGAATCTCTGAGTTTATATCCCAAAATCAGCCCAATGGGCGTTAACAGAATTCTGACCTAAATGGTCCGCAGTCAAAAGATGGAGGTAAAGTCATGATGGTGTAGACAACAGGCAAAAGGCTGAGGAAAAGCACAAGCAACAGAAGTCCCATGTAGAAATTGTTTGATCGTGAAGCTTTGAATACACGCTCGTGTGGGACGTTGCAGGACATCACAGCCCAGCACTGATAGTACATGGAGGTCAGGAGGCGAAGAACGTTCAGACCCACCAGACCAGGGGCATAGAAGGCTCCCATCCTGCAACAGACATTATACAAAAACATTATGGGCCTAAACAAATAATTGATTAACATATTTGTCTTAATAGTGCTAATGCTAACACAGAGAGAATTACCTATGTCCATGTTTCTTGTGTCTTTATAGTATAGCAGACATTCTCAGAGCGACACAAAAAAATATGGTTTGTGGGTTCAATCCCCCCATGAGACCTTCTCCACCTTCTCCCACTAATGTCTGCTGTCATTGTGTCCTTACGCAAGACCCACTTTGCCTGAAGTCCCCCCCTCAAAGATCACGGACAGAGCAGCCACTGGTTTGGTGCTATGTGAATTAGATGCAGCACTGACTGCCACCTCCCAATCCAGAAATTGAATAAGGGGTTGAAAATGCATGAATGGATATTTGAACATCTTTCTAATGCATCTGATAAGGTGTTCAAAAGAGTGACTGAGATGTAAGCAACAGATTTGAATAACAAATTACTGTTTGTACAATGAACAATGAACGCTAGTAGTAATACTGCAGTACACAATACTGATGTCCCCTTTGTGAGAGTAATACAGGTTAAACGTCTAATCGTATCATACCATATCATTCCTTGATTGAAGATGAGCCCCAGTACATTGCCACTAATGTCAAACTCCCCGTAGGAAGGCTGGAAAAAACAACACAATTAGCATATTAATTAATCACTTTACATTTACTCCTGTCTTCGCTGTTCTCTGTAATTAAATTGTCAGGCACAGATCCAGTTTCTTTCAACGTTCAAAGGCATCGTCTGACTCGCCAGATGTCATTGTGAAGTATCGGGTTGACTTGGATCCAAATAAAGAGAGTCTTACTACACTGTGTTTGGTAACAGAACTATTTAAATGATTAAAGCTGGGGTACCTTTTTACCACAAACATATATATGTATATATATTAGGGCTGTCAAACGATTACATTTTTTTAGTTGATTAATCGCATAGTATTGGTGAGTTAACTCACGATTTAATCGCATTCTTAACATTCTATTTCAAATCCACTCCAATTGAAGTTAAATGAGATTATCAAATGTAATGGCACATTGTCATTCAGACCAAATGTACTTAAATCTGTTAGATTTCCTCAAAACCTTATACTTTGGGCACAACCAAAATGAGCTGTTAATGAAAGGGGAAAATGTACGTACCCCAGCTTTAATTTAGCGAGTTTAGTTTAGTTTAGTTTCAGGAGGTGACACGGCCACTTGCGCGGTGTATTTGCGCGCACAGGTTTTAAAGACAAGCACACAACATACAGTAGTTCTGTGCGGCGCCATTCGCTCTGGTTCGCTAACAACAACCAGAACAACCGCAGCTGCCCACGGGGTGTGCCCCGGGAGGCGGACTTCAGTAAACAGCCCCGCGGTAATTCCCAGAGGGCCTACCTGCTCTGATGTTATCTCACAAACGCATGAGTCCGCTGCATTCTGAGAGATATTATGGATAAATGGGCAGGTCATTCGGACATGCGTTAATGCGAAAAAAAATTACGCAATAATGAAAAATGTGAGTTAACGCGATGATTTTGACAGCCCTAATATTATCGCGTTAACGCACGTTATTTTTTTTTTTTCATTTATCGCGTTCAAAAAATCAATGCACACACAGAGCATGTCTCTGGGAATTCAAGCTTTAAAAGAATATACGCGTTTCCTGTGTGAACTCTGCAAGCAGTTCCTCCAGCGGCTGTGATCACGCCGAACGGCGCCGTAACGTGATCATATCCAAGATCATACACAGAACTATTCTCTGCTCGTAATGTGCGTGGCTTGTAGTGCGTAACCAGTGAACACAAAAAATACAGCGCTGAAGCTGGACTGCGGAGCCTCGGTCTCCTCCCTGTATTCTCCCGAAGCGCACTCCCTAAATTAAAGCTGGGGTACCTAATTTTCCCTTCCACTACCAGTTCAAGACAGATGTAATGACATTCTGCATTTCAGACTGTTTTGAAATGTCCCTCATCTGTAACAAACAATAGTTTTGGTTTGAGTCTAAACATAAAGACAGAATGTGAATAATGTTATGCCATTTTATATAGATTTATTGTATAATAAACAAATACAGTTCATATGTACACCATGTTGGCATGTATCTTTCCATTCAAACAGCCATTTACAGAAAAATATGGCATCATTTTGTCGATAGTTTGAAATGCGATTAATTACGATTAATTAATTTTTAAGCTGTAATTAACTTGATTAAAAATTGTAATCGTTTGACAGCTCTAATATATATATATATTTTTTTAATTATTGTATTCTACTCCCCATGTGAAGCGTATACAAGTTTGATGTATTATTATTATTATTATTATATATTTTTCAAGAAAGTCTTGTAAAAGTGATATGGACCTCAACATTGCTTAAATGAGGGCCGGATTGGATCTACTTACATTTTGACTAATATTTAAAACTGTTCCTGTACAAATATAAAATCAGCTTTGTGCTGATTGAGCGAGTGAAAGTGGTCTTCCCTCTCTCTCACTTTTCTGTCTGAAAAAAACTGAACAAAAGATGTGACAGAGGCCATGTATGAAAAAATGTGATAGAACAAAGAGCATGTCACTGGTTTTTATGGATTTTATTACATAATCCATTTTTGTGTTATGAATTAGGTACCCCAGCTTTAATACTAGGAAATATTGATGGTATTCAATAATATTTAGATTCAACTCATTTTTAGAATACTTACAAATCCAGCCTCTAGATCCCAGCACCAGCAGTAGTTGAGAAAGCGCACAAAGAGCGCTCTTACAAAATCTCCAATGAGAATCGTCAAATAGGTCACTTGCATGTCTGAAACAGTAAGCTTCACAAATTCCTTGACAGAAAATGGGAAACATTATTTGTGAATTTAAGAACAGGTGAATTGAACAAACAGGTGAACAGGTGAATTGAACAATAATGAAGACTCACTACTCCCACTCCAGTTTCCCAACATGGGCCGCGGATTACATCAGCAGGGTGAACGTTTGGTGGAGGAATATCTGTTGTATTGTGATAACTGCTGTAGTTAGCGTAGTATTCATCCAAGGCCCAAATAGTGGAATTCTTGATGAGTTTTTCTTTTTCCAACTAAAAAAAGAAATAAAGTATATGCTAGAAAAGTTATCAAACTGTAAGCAATGGTTAAAGCTTTCACCTTTGCATTGACTTCATCAAACAAGGCAAAGAGAAAAGTGTAAAGATTTCCCAGGAACAAAGCAAAGATGCGCCCAAGCTGCCACTTCAGAGCAATTCGAGGATGATAGTCTTCCAATTCAGCAATAGTTTCAAATAGCGGAGGGCACACCAGGCCGAGAAGAGACATGACAATCTCAACCTAAGAACAGAAAAAGCCATTTCACAGCTATAAGTAGAATCTAGTAATAACATCTGACTGCTGTTTTAAACTTGCCTCGTTCTTTTCCAACCAAGAGATATCATCGTCATCCTTCTCCGCAAACTCTTGAGAACGCTTCACAACAAAGTAGATGAGAAACCCACTCCCCCCCAGACTGCACAGAATCATGAAGTTTGCCAAAACTCGAAGAAAACGACGCAAGTGGATGTTTTCATCTTTTTGATTCTCCTGCTCATCTACAATGGATTCCTGCAGTGGCAAGTTAGTGATAATGGCAAATGTTTATACTTGAATTAGTATTTTAATCCTGGAGATCAAACATACTGACCTTGAAGCTTGTTGTAATGGAGGCAAATTTATTGTCTGCGGTTTCAGGATTTCCAATCAGATAATCCCAACTTGTGAACATTTTCCAACTAAAGGTGAACTGATTGTCTTCTCCTCCTTCACCTCCTTCGTTTGAATTTCGAGCCATCCTACAGAAAAAGAAAGATTGTTAAAATAGTACAAATGCATATAAGGAATCATTGATTGACCAATTTCAGATGTGTGTGTGTGTGTGTGTGTGTGTGCATGCTTGTATGTGTGTTAGTAGCCATTTTACACTGTACCACTCCGCAAATAGCCGGTAAATATTGTCCAACGAGTGTTGCCAGGCTAGTTTTGATTGAGCTTCCTTGAAAGGAATTGGAGCACCAGGTAGAAATTCCTGTGCTTTTTTGTCAGTGGGGAAATGCCAAGTATTTTCTATTTTTCTGATAAAAGGATTGCACAAATGGATGGATTGAGCTGAAAGACTGTATTCAAATTTGGGGACGACCCATAGCCTTGACGGCATGTTTCTGTTTTTGTGGTTTGAAAATGGGGTGCCACAGCTTTAATTGATGAACTTGTTTAGCTCTACTTTCATGTAACGATATAATAAATCTGGGCCTTACGTTCTGACAACAACCATCAGGCTGTATCCGAATATGCCCACTCCCACAAGCAGATACGACAGAGGCAGCCTGAACTGTAGCACTCCAATCATCCGGTCATTGTTATAGTAGCCATAGAAAAGAAAGGAATATTTGCAGTACCCCTGTAAGAAAAAATATAAATCAATGCAAAACAAATATACATATATGTGTGTGTGTGTGTGTGTGTGTTGAAAAAACGACACAAAATTACTCTAAAGTCTAGGAGAACTGAGTAGTCCATGGCTGTGTCCTGCTCCGCCCTGGGGACTGTCTTTCTTGCAATGGAGCCATAAGGGAGACCCATAAGAACCTGTCAAAAGGAAGATGAAATCCAACAGTTTAATCCTATAGTGTCTCATTTCTTAATTCTATACATATTATCTTGAATTTAATACTGTATTTATAAAGTCTTCAAAAATTACAAGTGAAAACAATGACAAATCTGTACCTCAGGCAGTACGACCAACCCAAACATGAATCCAAATAGAATCAGGTTAAGTCCATACATCCAACGCAGGAAAATAAAGTACGAAGCCACTGAAGATCCAAAGTGACCTGATTCATAGTTATTTCAGATAATGGTTAAAAACAGTGGTTTATAAACAGTAATTAGGTTTCAAATAATGGAAAGAATACGCACTTTCTACGTCTTTTATCTTTCTTTCCCAGGGTATACAAGCAGTTTTGAAGTTTTCAAAGTCACGTTTGAATTTGATTAGTTTCTGTAATGACATCCCGATAACGGTTAATTTATCAACATATGTTCAGAGATAGATGCAAATCATAATTCTTGATGGAAATTAAAATGTGTCTGCATGGCCAACATTAGTCATGCATATATAATCAACATTAACATAAAAGATTAAATATTTTCTAATAAGAAAGCATGTTGTTGTCTGATTTATAGCAACATGTTTCTTTTACAGATGTAACAAAATGTTCTGTAAATATTATGGGGAGGAAAAGTTAAGTACCCAAAGTAAATGCTGTGTGCAAATCTGCATTATGTAACAAATAGAACAGTGGGAAGACAGTACCTTTGTCATCATGACTTTATAAGCATACCACTTCCGGCCTTTCCCTTTCCCAAGACTGCCTTCAAACTTTTCCACAAACTCTTGGGCTTCTCTGTTTCAACAATTAAAACATAATAATGGTCAGTTTACTATTCAACATCAAATCTCCTGTAAACTGTTGTCAAATTCCACATTAATTATTTAGTGTTGACAGCATGTTAGAACATCAGCTTTGGTATGATTTACTGATGAGTGATGGCAGAAGTATGTTGAGTGAATAGGGCCAGGCAAAGAGCAGGTCACTCCGCCACAACAACATGCATTAAACAGTGTCAAGCTCATGAAAAAGTTAGCAAAGCAAGCCTCTCATGTTGCCTGTCGTAAAGGTTGCTCAATGAACTGTATTTAGAGGATCAGGCCATACACATGCCGACATCCAGAGGATCTTAGCTCTCAACTTCGGTTTGATTAAGGCTGGCAGTGTATTTTTTATTTCACAAATTGAGAATTGAAAATATAAAACACAGAAAGATATGCAAGTCAATATGGAATGCTTTAATAATGAAAGATCACATCACATGTACTGGACATAGGTGATGGCATAAATATAGAAGTGTACACACAAGAAAAAGAAAAAAATGAAAGGAGAAAAAAAGACTTGCTAAATCTCACGGTACAATAGTATAATGTGAATAGCTTTTTACTTCAGCTGCACAAGTCTTCTCTGCATGCGCCATGGTTTGGTTCGTAATGTGGCAATGAGTTTCTTTTTTTCCTCCACTTCTTCCTTCAGGGCTTCCATCTCTCCTTCTGACAATGATTCTTCATCAGAGTCAGAACCAGACGAAGAGCTACTGTGGGAAAGAGTAAGGCTCATCAAACCTTGTTGTTTGTGTGGTATAATTATATTTTTTTGTTCTATTAAAAGGTGAGCTTGGTATCTTTGTGTGTGCATGGATGCATTCACCCTACCAATTAACCAAGTTTCTCTCTGAAGTGGGAGACACAACCCAAAATGTTGCATATTGAAGTTTTCAGGAATGAGGTTGAAGCAGATGTGGCTCAGAGAGAAACATGTATCTTTGGTAATATGTTTTATAAGTGTGCATTTGAACACATGTGTTCAAATGCACACTTACCAATGTAAAGCATATTAATGAGGCCCCAGACCTGTCTTCTCACTGTCTTGTAAGAATCTAATCCAATGAATAACAACTGATGGAGACAAGCAGGTGGCAGACCTGATCAGTCATCTGAGTCGGAACACTCCTTACTGAATACTTAAGCCATATGATGCATTTACAAACTAAACATAAATTTATTATTATAAAGCTATTGGGCAAAACTACTATTTGTATTACTGTAAAACAACTCATCATCTTGGTTTATGATTGTCTAATGATATTACTTCTTTGGCTATAATCTAATTTTGATAAGGTGGCATTCTGTTTGCGCCGTATTTCAGGTGTAAGACAACTTGTACTTATTCATAGGTCATTAGGCATTACATTATATGTGTAAAACTAGTTACAGTAATTACTGACTCCAATTATGAACACAAATTAATTTTGCATTATGTGACCTCACAGAAGACAATGGGCCTCATTCACGAATAACTTCGTAAGAAACTACTCAACTTTCTTCTCAAGTTGTCCTTAAGTAGATTTCTAAGAAGTCCCCACGTGGGATTCATCAACGCGCTCGTAAGCCGCTGAATTGTTCACAGCTGTTCTCTCAGATTGATGAATCCCATTTCCTCGTAAGCACAGCGCGCGTGCCAGGTGCTTCATTAGCATAGGTACTTAGCATAAGTAACCGCCCACTAATGCCCATATAAGGGACTGCAGGGCCGTGTGCAGACGCCAGAGGAAACAGCAACAGGCCTAAAGCAAAGAGTTACACGGAGCAAAAGAGTCACCCTTTTTTCTTCTTTTACCAGACTGAGAATAAAGTTATAAAATGTTGACTTAAAAGTCGAAATATTATGATAATAAAGTCAAACTAGCAAAATTATGAGATTAATCTAAGAATATGATGAGATTAATCTAAAATGTTATGAGCTTAATTTAAAAATATATTATGTATTATTTTAAAGATGAATCTCAAAATGTTTTGAGATTAATCTCAAAATATTTTGGACCCTGGGAGGAGATCCAGCGCGGACCAGCGCTGAGACCAATGCAGACCCGAGGAGAGACTGGAGTGACCAGCACACAGAAACCAGCGCGGACCTATAGGAGAGACCGCATAGACTGTAGTGACCTGACTGGAGAGACCGGTGCGCAGAGACCAGCGCGGACCGAAGAGAGACCGCATAGACCAGACTTGAGAGACCAGCGCGGACCCGTATGGATCCAGGAGCATGCAGCACGGACCCGTATGGAGAGACCAGTGCAGACCCGTATAGATCCATGGGAGAGACCAGTGCAGACCCGTATAGATCCATGGGAGAGACCAGTGCAGACCCGTATAGATCCATAGGAGAGACCAGCGCAGAGACTCAGCGCGGACCCAGTAACCTCCTGCAGCAGCAGTATATATGCCGTTGTTCTGTGGCCCGTGGATAAAGAAATGCCCCCTATAAATAGGAAGGGGTCACTAATACACGGCAAGATTTCCAATGTATTTGACAAAGCGTTGGCACATTTCATTTCAAAATGAATTAAAAAGTAGGCCAGATCTGCAGTGAAAAAGGCGGTATATAAATAAAGATTACTAATAAAGATTACTACAAATAAATAAATACATACATCGATATGACGGAAATATCACTGGAATGTTGTATTTTTATTCAACTTCACCAAAGAGGACAACCCCGGCGTGTGAACATGTCGGCACTGAATGCGTACGAGTGCTCCTGAGGACTCGTAGGATTTGTACTTGCCCAAGAGATATTCTGGTTACGAGAAATATTCGTGAATGCCACTTTCTTCGTAAAAACCGCGTAAGTAGGATTTACGTACAAATCTGTTCCTAAGAACCGTTCGTGAATGAGGCCCAATATCTCTGTTGGGGCTCATACAAGTATTATTAGGAGGTGAATCGTTGAAAATATCACTTCTACCATAGTTTTCATCTTCTCATCATTTATGCGGGTATATTGAGCACATCATTGTATCTTTGGAATCAAATCTTGGAATTTTCAGAATATTTTCTTTGGAAACATTTATGACTGACTTTGTCAAGTTACCTAAAATAAATCCTTTTCATAGAAAATTTTAAATTCACTTATCTCTAAAGCAAAAATGCCTTTAACTGAATATGATACGTAAAGTGTATATCAAATCTGTGTGAAAACAGCAAAGTATTAGAACCATATGTATATTATGATGTGTATAGAACGTGAACTGTATGTTCTGCACCATGTTTTGAGGTAACTTCTGACACAGACGAGAACTGTGTGCATAGATTATTAAGATACCAATCCGTAAACGTGGCACATATTCAGGAAATACATCAGCCCAATGCTTTAGAAGAGTCTGACCACCTAAATATATGCCACACAATGTGAGGGGTATATAGAGCGTGCAGGTCTAATCAGCGCTCAGAGAATACTGCACCTGCCCTTCTTTTTCTTGTCTGCTTTTCCTTTGTCTTTCCCTTTGTCTTTCCCTTTGTCTTTTCCTTTCCCTTTGCCTTTCTTGTCCTTGTTCTGCTCTTCTTTTGTCTTCTTGGACACGCCTTTGCCGCCGTTTCGACCATTTTTCTTCTTCTTGTTGTCCTCCTCACTCTCCTCCTCGCTCTCTTCTTTGGCTTTCTTCTTTCTTCCACCTTTGGACCTTTTGCCTTTTACATTCCTGTCGTCTTCCTCCTCGTCTTCATCACTGTCTCGCTTTTTCTTTTTCCGGCCTCGTCTTTTTGGTGATTCGTCCTCATCTTCGTCTTCTTCATCATCACTAGTTTTTTTGGCTTTGCGTTGGGGTTTGGCTCTTCGGTTTTTACTTTTCCTTCTGGCTTCCTCTACAAGACACAATTATGGCAAGACTTGTGAGTCAGTTCGATACAAGTGCTGTGATCTTAAAGATAGATAGATAGATAGATAGATAGATACTTTATTGAACCCCGTAGGAGAAATTCAGGTGTCCAGTAGCAGCAAAAATAAAAAATAAAATGGATCATTCTAAAAAGATAACAATAGTAAGCTGTATTATAACAATATTGTATACATGTATGTTGTATGTACAACAACAGTAAAGCTGGGGTACCTAACATTCAACCACAAAAGAAATGTATGATGTATAAAAAATAAAAATAAACTATCCTCTAGCTAGTAAAACAGTTGTATTTTTTGGCCTTTATGGTTATATATTTAGAGTCAAATAGTGAGCTCTTTGCTACAAGTGCCAAAGACGTTTTCTAATAAGATGGAAAAAGCATGTTGACCAAAGTGTTGTGTTTTGACAACTTTTACTGTTGGACAAACAAAATATCTAATTTATGACCCAATAAAAGTTAGGTACTCCAGCATTTATTGTATTAGCCTTTATACAAAATGTCTGCAAATCTATTGGAATTATTTAAAACAAAATACATTTAGTGTTGCTTTTTTAATATTGTTGTGTTCAACAATGGTGAAGAAAATGCAAGCTCACCTTCACTTCCATCATCGGACATAGCATCCACATCCATCCCAACTATGGATGAGAAACAAAATAATTCAGTAAAAGCTAATGAAACAAAAATTATTACAACTGTAATAAAAAAACAACATACCATCTTCAACGTCTACAGCCTTATTTTTCCGTTTTGGTGGCATCTCGAGGTGGTTGGTGCACAAGCTTCAAAATAAACTATTCCTTGTCTGAAAACCTTTTCTCCATGACTGTCGGCGTTTCCAGAAAGCCTCAGAATGTAACACGGTGACACTGACGCGGAGTAGAACAGGTGTCCCTCTGCGCTCAGGTATTTAAATGGCAGCTCCTTGGAGACTGCGACAGACACACTCCACCAGATCATATCAGTGGCTTGAAGCCAGGGGCAAAGGAAACTCTTACGATGGGGTTGCCAGTCCAAATGCTAATCTATCAAGCAATCCTACACTGTGGGACACCAAAAGCTTTGACATGTGACATGAAAGCTTCAGTGGGTACAGTAGATAACATTAGTCAGGTTACTTAATCAGCCAGAGTAAAAATATGTTCTATTAAGATACTAAATTAGATACTAGTTGAATCAAGCTTTGACTGGAAAATTCAAGTAGATCAATAATATCAGTATAGACTTTAAAATATTTGTCATTTATAAAGAAATATTTTGTTTTATGACGCTCACTAGGACAAAACAAGCTTTATAAAATCATTTGGAAAAAATGTCTGAACCTTGACCTAAACTTGTTTTTTTTACATCATATTCTATCTGACTGTAACCACAATGAGTCAAATGTCAGATGTGAGCTGTTAAATAATACAAGGAAACTGGAGACGCTACAGTACGACAAAGGAGAGAGCTTAGATGATAGGAATAAACTAGCGCTGGACAATCTGGGGGATAACTACACTTTTTTTGCCCATATTGATCAATCTCAATTTCTGATTTAATTAACTTTGCATACTATTAATCACAGTGAAAGGTGAGAACCCTTGAGTGAATGAGTGGTACCAGTTCCTTTTCACCGTTACTGCCACAGTCTGATAAATAAGATAGCTTATTGGTCAAATTTAAATTAGCAATTGTTTTTTTCGGTGGCACTGGAATTTATGAGGAATGAATGTTATAATGGTGCATTATCCCAAAAACTTGATTATATGATAGCCAGGTACTACATTTTAATTTTCCACAATTGTAAAGCGCTTTGTGACTCTGGTCTGTGAAAGGTGCTATATAAATAAAGATTACTTACTTACTTACTTCAGAGTTTGGATGTGTATAAAATAAGTCCTAAACCCGAAAACATTTCTTCATTGTGACTTTTCAGTAGTAATGAGTTTCTTTGTTAACACTAAACAGACTCAACGCTTTTTCACAGATTGTAGAAAATGATATTCAAACATTGACCCTTGGATCTGCAGAAACATGATGGGAGTCATCAAATCACAGCCCATCTTCAGTCTCCCTCATTAATGTAGTTAATAGGAGATGCGGACATTGAGATATCCGGTAATGTGTAACCCCTCATGGCTCAGTTTTCTGTAGGAGCAGACTGGGACAGAGCCAATGGGCAGCATTAGTTGTTGGGTGACACAGAGGGCAACAGAGAGAGCATGGGGCACAGACCATGGCTAGTCCTCAGATGTTGGTCTTCAGAACAACAAAAAGGAAAAAGAAAAAAGTATTAAACAATTCATGCACAATTTGATTAACTACTTGGCACATAATAAAAGAAATTAAAAAAACACTTTCTCAGATCTCAAATAACTGCTGAATGAATACTTAATGCTTACCATTAATTGATAATGTGCATTGATGCAAAGCTGAACCCACTTTGGCCATTGGCTTTATGAACTGTTTTATAACCGATTTATGAGACCTAAAAGGATTTTAATTTCACCACTTTAGGAAATAGGCCTCAGTCACATTACAAAACCAGGTTTGTCAGGAGTGTTTTCTCAGTGACAAACCAAAAAGCACTGTGGATGTGTGGTTGGATCTTTTCTCATGTTGGATCTTTGTTTACTCCAATTACATAAAGGTTTATAACTTAAAATACATATTCACTTTTTGCCAGAAGTGATGGATCTCGTTAGTCCTCCACAAAGACCTGGGTTAAATGGTCTGTGTCTAATAAATACTTTACTACAATGATCCAGTTGCAGAGTAATAAGGAGAATAGCACTTAGGCATCATGTTTTCACTAACATACGGATGATATTTTTTTCATGTTTCTCACACGTATAAAAATTGGCATCATGAGAACTGTCAGATTTGAACTATAGAATAATAATAATAATGCATTGGTTTTGTATTTTATATATGGAAAAAATAGTGGCTCAGTTGGTAGAGCATTGGCCGTAGAACCTGAAGGTTTTGGGTTCGAGCCCACCACGAGACCTACGTCACCACTGATGACTGCTGTTGTTGTATCCTTAGCAAGACACTTTGCCTGAAGCTCCCGCTGAAAGAGGGGCTGGTGCTCTGTGTACTGGGTGCAGCTCTGATTGCCACCAGAACTGATTGACCCAGAAATGGATTAAGGGGAAGAAAATGGATGGATGGTTTTACATGGCGCTTTTTTTAAGGTTGCTTAACAGTTTGACACTTTACAGCCGCCCCACTGTGGCGATTGGAGTTCCCAGAGGTCTCCCATCACAGTACTAACCAGGTACAGCTCTGCTTTGCTTCAGAAGTCGCACCGGCTTTCACATGCAACTAAAAACGTGGGTAACTTAAAAATAATGACTACCGGTAACCCAAAGGAGGACAATCAAACTTGTTTAATAATGTGAAATAACACTGGTTTGTGTAGTGAAGTCAGTTAGTGCAATTCCTTCACAGAAATGTAAGGAATACTGTGTAGCTATATAGTAATACAGTACATAGTTTAAAACACAGTGCATGTAACTTCAAGACATCCCTTGTATAACTAAATGTAAATAGAAAGTTAAAACCATTCTTTGGAACATTCTACATGGGAATAGATCAGATCAGATTCAGTTTTATGTCAATCTGTAGAAAATTATTATCAAATAAGCATTTTAGTGAAACATGCAGAAGAACCTTACTTTGTTATTTCTTTGGCTTAAAAGTGGGGCAATAATAAAGATCTTCGCACGAACATTCAATTATCTTAGATATATACTAAAATGAATCAGGGACACACGTTTGCGTCGGTACTTGACTCTTGACTGTCTTACTGTTCAGTGTTTTGGCACGTTTGAAGATCGGTGCATCCTCGGCTGCGCTGGGGCCCCAGGCAGGTGCCCAGTGGCCTCTTGGTGATGGGGGGGTCTGGAGCCTCTCGTGGGCTGATGGCGAACGTCACGTCTGTGGTACCGCCTCTGCTCGTGGTCCCATTCAATGTCTAAAATGTATTTAAAGATAATTTGCCTGGATTGGTATCTTAATAATTGCATTAGTATCTTACTTTCATACTGCTGAGATGGCGGCTTGTGTTTTGCTTGGAGTTGTGCTGCTTGTGTCGCCGCTTTTCTCGCCTCTTCCAGATCCATCGCTGCTTTTAGTGCAGCTTTTTTATTCTTTTTCTTGTTCTCCTCATTTTGCTAAAACAAAGACGTATACTTGTGTTATTTTAGCACAACAATCTCTTCGTGAAGCCAAGTCAGGTCACAGGCGCCGTTCCTCTGAAGTGTTGACTCTACTGCCCTCTGCTGGCCTATTTACAGCTTCAGCTTGTCGCAGGCTAGTTGCGCTCAGGTAAGTAAGTAAGTAAGTAAGTGTTTATATACCGCCTTTTAATATATTATTATAGATCTTCATGGATCTATAATAATATCAAAAGTCTTATACAAAACTAAAGCTGTGGTATGTATGGTCCTTGGTATTTACTGGTTGGAGACGATAGTTGATGAAAGAAACCACTGACTTAAAATTAGTCCGTATGGGGAGTTGACTGCTATGTGAATATGTTTAGGCCATGCTTATTGAAAGTTCACAATATGGTTAACTAGTGTTTGAGTTTATGCTGAGAATGACCAGATTCAGACAAACTAAGCATTTAAAATACCATTCATGCAGTAGGAGTACCCAATGTAATGATATGCTCCCTCTCAAAACAGCTTGGTTCCATCCTAATATTTACAGTCTATGGTTCACTTGTTTTCACATATTGGCCATCTGCCAAAAAAGACCAAAGTGTGAAATGGTGTTTCACCCTTTCTGAATTCACACAATGGGAAAATATATCATTTATGAAAAACCTAAAATAACAATTAATTGAATGTGTACCGTTTGCAGTTTCTTCTTAAGCTCCATATTAGCCTGTTTGTAACTTTTGGATGTGGACTGCAGGTAGTAAATAGCCAGGCTAAGGAAACACAGTACATTATGGTTTACATAATATAGGAACATACTGTAAATATAGCATTTATCTTCAGCCCATACTCACACCATGAGTAATATGAAGGGAAGCACTAGTCCAGGGTTAGAGGCATAGCTGAAGACTTTACCAAACCAAGCCGGGAAGTCGGACTCCAAAGTCTCTTGAATAACATCAAACATTCGATTCTTCCCACTGTAGCAAAATACTTAGTAAGAATACATGTACAGCCGATGCAAAACGTAGTTTTTTTGGGGACTTTTCACCTAAATGGCCCACAATCAAAAGAAGGAGGGATGCTGACTATAGTGTAGATAGCTGGGAGAGTGGAGAGGAAGAGGATCACTAGGAGCATGGCCATGTAGAAGTTGTTGGATCCCGAAGCCTTAAAAACTCGTTCTTGTGGCACATTGCAGCACATCACGGCCCAACACTGGAGGTACATGGAGACGTGGAGACGCAGGACATTCAGGGCGGGCAGGCAAGGGGCATAGAACGCACCCATCCTGAGATACAACACAGGTAATTACATAATGCACCGTATACAAAATGGATAAGAATGGCAATCCAAATATTTTACAGTTTTCAATACCATATCATGCCTTGGTTGAATATTAGACCCAGGACGTTTCCGCTCACATCAAACTCGGAGTATGATGGCTTTTGAGAGATAGATGAGAATACATACAATAATAAAGCAATCAAAATTACTCAGGTGCTATTCAACGTTTTCCCAAGAATCAGATTTTGTAGAGGGTCATATGCTCATGTGGGCAGTTCACACCACTTTTTAAAAGATTGATTACAACAGTTGTCATCCAATATATATCTCATTCAAAATATACCTCTTAAATTACTAATCATTTATAACAACAGTAATGGTGACAAATAGAAGAAAACAAAGTCTGAAATTATTCTGCCAGTGCTGAACCGGGATAAAATTGGACTTTATTTATATCAGAGTAGAAGATTAACCTTGAAATAAACAATATTAGACAATTAGCAGATATTGTAGGTCTAGTTGAGATTTAAACCAGTAAACATTAAAAAAAACATTAGATAATTGGATGCACCATGGGTTGGTTCAGATGTGTGGCCTGATCTGCCCTCTGGTCTGAAAGTGCAATGTATGACTCACAAATCCTGCCTCCAGGTCCCAGCACCAACAGTAGTTAAGAAACCGAACAAGAACAGCTCTGAAGAAATCGCCGATCAGAAGGGTGATGTATGTTGTCATGGTATCAGAAATAATCAGCCGGACAAACTCCTGGGAATATTAAACCTTTTATTTAGCTATAATTTCCAACCTATGTTAAAACATTCACACCATAAGTGATTGTGATTACATAAAGAAGGAGCCCACAAACTGACCTGGCCCACCATCGTCTCCCAGCAGGGCCCTCGGGGGACATCAGCAGGGTGCACTGTGATTGGCGGAGCTGTGCTGTTTTCTGATAGGGTGCCGTTATAAAGACTGGCTTCCCACATAGTGATGTTGTACCTGACTATCTTCTCCTCTTCTCTCTGTGACACATGCATTTTAGCAACATTTCACCACACAATGACACACACGCGCACACACACACACACACACACACAGTTCTTACTTTGACATTGATCTCATCCATCAGAGCAATGATGAAGGTGTACAGGTTGCCCAAAAACAGGGCAAAGATGCGTCCCAGCTGCCACTGCAGTGCAACACGGGGGTGGTAGTTCTCCAGAGAACTGATGACGTCAAACAGCATGGGGCAAAACATCCCCAGCAACGACATGACCATATTCACCTGAAAGACACCCAGTGGGAGGATAAAAGAGCTGTTTCATGCTCAGAGAAGACTAATGACATGGATACTGTATACACCCGCAGCCAATGGGCTCCTGTGGGTCATTGGTGACTCAATTTTGCATCTGTAATAAAACAGAAACCTCACCTTCTCCGTAATGAATAAATATATAATTGGAGAAGAAGCAACATAATTATTGTTTGTCCATAATAAAAACAATCATCAAAGAACACTCCAGAGGTAAACATACTAACCTCATTTCTCTCCCACCAGCTGTGATTCTCCAATCCATCCAGAGTGAACTTCTGAGAGCGCCGCACAACAAAGTAGATGAGGTAGCCACTTCCTGCCAAGCAGCAAAGCACCAGGAAATTGGCCAGAACCCGCAGAAAACGTGTCAGGTGGATATTGTCATCTTTTCGACTTTCTTGTTCTTCCAAGATTGCTTCCTAATTATATATATAAACATGAGGAAGATTAGTGTTATCTTTGCAACCAATAAGACTCAACTGTAAGTGACAACCTTGAAACTTGTGGTTATGGAGGCAAATTTATTGTCTGCGGTTTCAGGGTTTCCAATTAGATAGTCCCAGCTGGTAAATGTTTTCCAACTGAAATTAAAGCTATTGTCATCTCCAATTCCACCTTCATTTGCATTGCGAGCCATTCTAAAAACGAGTAAAAGGCTTCTCAGTAGTGTACTGCAATGCACTTATAAATGTGTGTGTGGAATTCACTTACGTTCTAATAACCACCATGTAGCTATAGGCAACGGTGCCCACACCAACCAGGAAGTAAGACAGAGGCAAGCGGTATTTTAGCCAGCCAATGGCGCGCTGGTTATTATAATAACCATAAAAAAGAACTGAATACTGTGCATAACCCTGTGGATAAAGGTAATTTAGAAACATTGGTTATAGACATAGGCTGTAGAAACAAAAGCCTGGGTACCTATTTCTTTGTATTCATTGAATTAATTCATTTTAATACATATTAGACCATATCATCTCTGTATCTTATTAGAAATCTTTTGCATACATGTAAGAAAGAGCCCCAGTCAGTATTGGGCTGAGAGTTAAAATTGGTTGAGTAAGTCTCTCTCTCTCCCTCTTTTTCACTTTTCTGTCAGAAAAAGCTAATCTAAAGATGTGATAGAGGCCAAAAAATATAGTGTTTGAACCAAATTTTGATCCTGAGGCACTACATGAATTGTACAGTATTACTGCTGTTGTTTGAAAGTGAGGTACCCCAGCTTTAAATGTTTGTTTTACTTTTAGGAATCTACTGACACCAAAATCCCATAAAACGGCAAAGTCCATGGCACTGCCCTCCTCTGGTCTGGGTACTGTCTTTCTCGGTAAACTGCCGTAAGGATGCCCCATCAACGCCTGTTTATAGAGGAAAATAGCACATAGATTTACAAGGCACAGACTAAAATATTCCTGATGCTTTATACCTCAGGTACCATGACCAAGCCAAATGTCAGACCAAACAAAATCATGTTGATACCGTACATCCACCTCAGAAAGAGGAAGTACGATGCCACAGAGGAGCCGAAATGGCCTGAAGCAGATGAAAAAGCAGTGAGATGCTCATTTTGAAGTCAACATGTTAGCTGTTGCATACCTACTTTCTATTTCCTTTATTTTCATTTCCCATGGGATGCAAGCAGTTTTAAAATTTTCAAAATCTCGTTTAAATTTCAGCCATTTCTACAATAAATAGACTTAGCTTTATTTGAAATACACAGTTAATAATAAATGGTCACACATTTGTACAGTAACTTACTTTGGTCATCATCACTTTGTAAGCATAAAACTTCCTTCCTTTGCCTTTGCCAAGAGCCCCTTCATATTTCTCCACAAACATCTGGGACTCCCTGGAATCATCAAATAATAATGTAAAATAATGTAGAATACAAAAACATAATAGTCAAGCATGGCATTTACTTTAAAGTGACTAGTTTCTTTTTCATTGGCCAAGGCTTTCCTCTCAGACCCTGGATTAGTTTTTTCCTGTCCTCCACCGCCTCCTTCAGTTTCTCCAGTTCTTCCGGTGTGAGTGTTTCAGGCCTCACCACATCCTCCTCCTCCTCCTCCTCCTCATTCTCCTCTTCACTGGACTCTGGCTCAGAGCTATGAGACAAGTTCCACACAATGGGCTTGTAATACACTAAATTCACGGACTTTGGTTAATACTGTTGGACTGTGTTAGTTCATATACATTTAATTTTAATGAATTAATTGCATACATATGAGTTCATTGCAGACACATTAATGAATTTGGGTTGTTAAAGAACTCCAAACCTAATCTAAATCTGGGGTACCTTACAGGTTCAAAACCGTTCTGTTTTGCTGTGCATACAACTGAAGGATTGTATCTACACTCTTTTTAATGTACTGGGATTATTTATGATGATTTCTATCTTGTTTGTGTGTTAAGCACGTGGAGTTCCCTTTGTGCTATACAAATAAATTTGCCTTGCCTTTTAAAATTCATGAAAAAAACTACATAGATGTTGTGAACAAATCAGACCACAACATTCCACCATTTCAGAAAACATTTATTCTATTGCATGCTCTTGGTCTCTCTGTGATGAGAGCTGATTGGCTGAGTGAGGGTGGTCCTCTTTTTTCACCTTTTAGCCTAAGAAAGCTGATCTACAGATGTGACAGAGGGGATAAATACATGCATGTGAAAACTAGCGATATAACGAAACCATTTTAGAGCCAGGAAGTTACATGGATTGCATTATTACATTTTTATGTGGTCTGAAAATTAGGTACCTCAGCATTAACGCAAGATTCTAAATTTTTCTAAACATTTAGATTTTTCATGAATAAAAAATGCATTTTGATTTTCATTATTGCATTTTAAATGTATTTAGAAATATGTTTTACTTCTTGAACATACTGAGCTACACTGTTAAAAACCTTTGTTTGTTGCATGAGCATAATTACCTTGTTTCAATTACTTTCTTCTTTTTCTTTGCCTTTTCTTTTTCTTTTGTGTCTTTTTCGGCACTGTCTTTCCTCTTTTTCTCTTTGCTTCTTTTCTTTGTTCCTGATTTCTCTGAGTCTTGTTCCTTCTTTTTGGTTTGTTCATTCTTCAGGTTTTTCTTGCTCTTCGCAGCTTTTCTCTTTATCTCTCCTTCTTCTTCTTTATTGTTCTGATATTTTTTGGCTGTAAGATATATCAAGTTGCCATACTGAAATATGTTTTATCTTTATGACATGGACATAGAAACTTTGCCAGCAACAAATGATCCTCCCTGTAATGAATAAAACCTTATACGGTTTGGGTTTCCAACCTGTAGATCGGGGGCTACCAGTTTATACAGCTAAAAGAGTATTCGTTCATATCTTACTGCCCTCTAGCTAGTACATGTTCACATTAGATTTCAATTATCTATATTACTATACCAAATTGATCAAATATGTGTGCTTTTTACCTCCCCGACCCAGAGATGGTTTAAGGGGAAGAAAATGGATGGATGGATGGATGCGTACTTTTATAAAATACAATTATGAAATCATTAATCACAATACAAATCAAAATGTTTGTTTGAAAATTTCAATTACCCGGCTGGTATTTTACCAAAATCTTTCACCTTGATCTTTTTCTTTGTCATGTTTGTGATTTTTCGAGCCGTTTCTCTTCCGGTTGTGTTTCTGAGTGTGCTCTTCTGTGTCTTCGATGCTTGACGCACGGCCTGTCTTTATTGCTCTTTTCTTTCGCTCTTTGCCGTCTGCTTTTCTCCTTCTTTTGTTTTCATGAGCGTTATCTTCCTGAGAGGTTTGGTCCTCAGCTGCTGGAGTTAAAAGTTACATCATACTTGTGCTACACTATATTTGCAACATTTCATCATCAAAACATGCATGACATAGTTACACAAATATTTCTGTTTTAGCTTAATACCCTGTATTTGAAACTTGTTCCTCATAATTCATGAATCATGTCCATGGACTATCATCATACATTTTCTTTTTTTGCAACATTATGTCAACATCCATAGACGTCTGTTAGAAAAATACAATCAAGAAATGTAGCCATCCATTATTGAAAATCATGAGCTATTATTATTTTTTATTTTTTATTTTTGACCCAAATATATATAAACATGAGTTTCTAAAAGGTCTTAAGACTTTTTTTTACATGGTTTCTGCATTGTCTTTAAAGTCTTAAAAGAGACTGCTCTTCAAAATAAATCTATTATTATGAATAAAATAAGGTCATTTTTGTTTTGTTTTTAAGAGTACAATTAGTCTTGTCCACCCCTGCAGATACTTTGTTTTCAAATAGGACATTTTGGGCTCGTGGCAGAAGAAGAACTTACCTGGAAAGTCCACTTGAACGTCAGCTGTTGGGAGAGAGATTTTTATAGAAAAATGTAGTTGGTAATATATATAAACTAGTTTCTCCTCCGACAGAATCCAGTCTAATATATTGTTTTATACCCTTACAATAAGGCTTTTCAGTGGTGACCCTCAGCACACTTTATTGTGTACCTGGCACTATTGTTCTGAAGTAATAGGTGGATCAAGGGCCAAACAATGGGGACCAGTGATGGACTGAAGAGATATTTACAGAGTCTGTGCTATGATGTGTGTCGTCAGTGTAACCAGATCGGCCGGTATAAGGGTCATTATCGCTATGTGAAGTTAGGGTCACAAACCACAAACAGAGGCCTAATGAACAGAAGTTACAGAAAATAAATGCTGGACTAGATTATCATTCAATCTTACAAGAAGGCAGCTAACATTAATCAAACATTGTAATTCACTTAAGATACATATACTGTTCATTTATAATGTTTGAGTAAGTTGCAAAAATGACAGATTTTAGGCTAACTAAACATTTAACTATTTCCAGGTCTAAATAAACACAGACTATTCTATCCAAGAATTAAGATGATATCAACTCTTACTGTCATTGTCGGAGATGATGAGATTGTCGCGGGACATCTTCTCTCATTGACCAGTTCCCTTTGGTTGCAGGACTCATGTGAAGAGGGTGAGTTTAAAGTGTCCGTGTTTTAATAATGGTTCTTGGCACAAATAGATGAGCCTCGTCCACCCCACATTGCAGAGAAAAGGCATGACCCGACTGTGTGTCTGTGTGCAATGGGCTCCGAGAGGATGGGACTCCCATGAGAAGTTCACTTTTTCTCGCCACCCATCGACCCGAAACAGGGACAATGAAAGCATGGAAACCCTAGAGCCACGCAATTTCACTGCAGATGAATTATTCAAAACAGATATGAATGCCTTTATGTAGCTGTGTGGGTTGATAGATATCTGTACTAATATTTGCTGATGAAATAATTGCTGGATTATAGGGATGTTTCAATTATGCTTTGTTTTCATGATCTGACTTTTTTAAAATAGGCAACGTTTTGTATTTACAGAGACAGGAAGGTGTGGGGCAGGTTAGGAATGCTCTTGTCTTCTCAATAGATTGATTGATGGATTAAATTACGTATTTGTTCTGTGAGAGAGTTACCTTGGATGATGATGATGTAATTACCTCAGATGTTTTATAAGACCATTAGACAGATTACAGAAGGGGGAAAAGATCAAATTAGTGGGACTTGCTTTATGCAATCTTCTTTTGTTTGATAATGGTCAGGAGAAATCTTCATAAACTCAATAGGCTCTTATACCAATGTGGTTCAAAAGTAAGGATTTGGTGTTGTTGCAGCAGTTTTAACATGTTTGTGAGCTGTCTTAAAAGAGTGAGTCTAATAATTTTTTAACATTCTTTCATTTCTTAAAAAGTAGCTTTTAGGTCAGTGGCTGTGTTGTAGGCTATTGTTCTTATAACTTTATTTAACCATTTGTTCGAGGTTGTGAGGTTATGTTTGAGCTGTGTCCAAAGATTTCTCTTGAGGATCAATAAATTCTATAGTAATCTTAAATACTTGAACCTTGTATGATTTGTTTTATAATAATGCATGTATCTAACACGGATCTGAATTGTAAATGGGCTACATAGAACACTTTGTACACCTTTAAACTGTACACCTTTTTTCGGCAATGTATTGTAGCTGTTAATGGGTACAAGCAGAATGAAGTGACTTGCTCTTCTAAACCTGTAGAGGGCGACTTGATTTCACTATCACAAATCATCTGGTGGGACAGGCAAATTCTTAGAAAACACATTTCCTAACCTCTTTCAGCCACGTGAGTCTTTCCCGTGTTCTGAACAGAGTTGTTGTTGTCCGTTTGTGAGCTTGACAGTCAGTGTTTTGGAAGGTGAGTGAGTGGAATCATATCACTTACACTATTCTTAATTTAGCTCCTACTTTGACAGAAAGTTTATGTAGGGATCACATGAGCAAAGCGTGACATCAAAGCTCATCTTCTATTTTACTTTGTTTACCCCTCTATTGCCAACAATAATGAACTGCCAGTTTGAAGTAAGCAAAGTATGTAACCACAGGAAACATTCACATTGATTATAGATGATAATAGATAAAAAACAGAAACTGGTGTGTTTTATTTTAGGCACTTAAAAATAAGTAAAATAAAACACCCAAAACAGAGAGGCTCTATTGTGATTGGTGTTCTATTGTGTGGTTCCTTGGGAGAAGCCTTAAAAGCACCATGGCTGTTTTTGCCAGACGTTGAGAAGATGAACTCCAGGTTGTGCAGGTGGCTACTTTGTGAAGATAACTTTTTATCTGCTAATTATAGTGTCTGTTGTTTGTTAAAACATAGCATTGGAAGAATAACATTTTCAAGCAGTCAGAACTGTTTTGCTGAATTTAAAACACTATACTATTATTGCATTCCATTACTAAGCCAGGTGGATTTTTATCCGCCTTCTCTAGCCCCCAAACTAAATTCCTCTCTTCCTGTTTTTCAGGACTTCCATTCAAGTCCCATTTATGGCTGTGATTATATTTTAGCTTCTCTTGAGCAATAGATAAAGAACAGCGCATAAATGTAAATGTTGATTGTATTACAGACAGACAATGCATTGTGTTGATTTGTGCACTGTGCTTGAGAGAGAGAGAGAGAGAGAGAGAGAGAGAGAGAGAGAGAGAGAGAGAGAGAGAGAGAGAGAGAGAGAGAGAGCATGGTGGTAGAATGCATGAGTAAAGAAGCGTCATCAGATAAAGAGGAGGGCCCTGGAAAGCTCTGGGAGGCGGGACTTGGCGTCTGCGATTGACAGATTAAAGCGCAGGAGGCGGGGATTGTGTTTGCAGACAGAAAAAGCACGTGGCCTAAGCCGTCTGCACGAGGGAGCACCAACAAAGAGCAGCCAGTCTGAGGAACAGAGCACACTCAGGAGTCAGGACATCTGCTGCTAACACATGTGCGCTCACATGCTGAGCTGAGCTACTGAGCATTTGTTCTCAGGCACAAGCCCAGAGCAGATCATATATCACCTGAAACGGACAAACCATCAGAAATGGAAATATGTGCTGCCATACACACTTTTAACAGTGTGTATTGTAGCACAGCCATATTTCAAGTCAAGAAATATTAACTTATCTAATGGCATTTAGTGTATCCTCAGTTAGAAAGATCCTATGGATTGAGCCTTATTATATTATATATTGTAGAAATAGAATGTGTAGACAAGAAAGAATAAACTGGACGTTGGGGAAACTCCTCCCAGGACGACATAAAAAGCATTCACAAGGTCTGTGGAGGAGTTTTGCAGCTTCTAGCCATGCACAAGGCACAATGGTCAAGGGCTGCTGAATCAGCACATTTTTGAATTGTTGTTCTTCTGGAAAATCTAAGTTGAAATGCTTTTTCCTTATTGTCCAAGGTGGTGTGTAATTTATTTTACCCTCAGCTTTAACACAAAATATGAATGTATTACGATTAAAGATATTTCCCTTTTGTTCCTGTTTTTTGTCCACAACTTGAGTAAGGACATTATACCTTGACACACCACCTAAACTAAACCTAATCAGGGCTCCGCATACATTTGAATGGAGCAGGGAGGGGTGTAAAAGTATAAATATTCTATTGCAGCTTATCAACTTTGCACACCACTTATGTAAATGGATAAGCTGCAAGCTCCACCAGCAGCCCCTTTTTATCAAGTGGCCCACCACAGACACACCACTGTCACAAAGCCTATCTGCCTGGTAACCACAGTCTGATTGTTCTCAATTCACAGAAATAATCCCTCAGCAATATTCTGGCATGCTACAATATGAGGCACCTTCAATGCAGACATACAGGCAACATAGAGCTCACGTGTGTCTGTGGACATGTTCATACATTTAGACTAGCCCCTCGAGCAAGACTAGCAGCCCACTCCTCCTACAGTGCTCCCCACACAAGCTTGCATGTTTAGAGCAATAACACAGCAGAGTGACTAGGGGGATGGTAATGATACTGAACACCTCCCACTCTCTCCTCAGCTGCCACCCTCCCCTCACTGAAACCATGAACCTTCACATACTAAAGAAACATATAGATTCACACACAGACACAGCCCTATGTTTCGCACCCATGCAGGACCCCCATTACCAAAACAGTCACACAAAGGCATTGATGTGTGCATACGTTTTCTTGCAAACCCCTCCCTTCCTGGTCTTTATTTTCTTACACACTATGCATTTGTATCTACACTGGGTCATTTCCATACAAATAAATGTAGTTTGTGACCCAGCCCTTCAGAATACAAAGAGATAATCTAGTTATTGCTTCCAATGTTTTACTAAATGCTGTATTTTGAAGATATTTAGAAATGATTGGTATATTTGTAAATATGATCCAAATATTGTTAGCAGCATAGGATAATAGTGTTAATGTACAATGCTATAATTCATATATTTGCATGGTAATTATCATTTGTTGTGGCAATCACAAGGAAGTTGCTGAATAGTTTGTTGGGTCTAAACTAAACTTTTTGTTCTTCATTATTTACAAAGCAACATCAGTAGGGTTGTTTTGAGTTGGAATACTATGGCAACTCTAGAAATGTTATCTTTTCACATTAACTGCTATGGTTAACATAGATAATGAAAGATAAATTATCAAAGTAAGGAATATTCCCTTCACAAAGATTAGAAATGTATCTCAAACTGTACATACTAGTTTAGATTGAAGTAGACACAACAGAAGACTTCTAGGTTGCTCAAGATGTTCATGTTTCCATGAAACAGCTCAGTTGATTAATGACGAAATGTTCCTCTCTGCTCAATGTTTGTTCTGAATCAGTACACCTAATAGTGCCTGAAGATATGTGACGTGAGGCAACAAAATATGCTGCAGCTTGTTTGACGTGCAAGGCCATTATATATATTTTCTAAATGTATTGTAAGTGAACAACATGTTCTCATAAGTTACATAGATTAGCACTATCTAATGACAAGATTCTGTAAATAGGCGTGAAAGACTTATTGTTGTGTGTTTACTAGAATCTCTGTGCGACTGGAGCTTGGTCTGTATTTCACAACTGTCTTGTGTACATGCAGTGTACCCACTGTGCTCTCCTGGCTTGAGCCTCAGTTTTATCTTTTCTGTTCTGTCACAACATGTTTACATATTCTCTATCAGTTATGATACGTTGGGTTGTGAAATGAGACAGCATTTTTCACCCAAAAAATGTATATAATCGCATGTCATGTTTGTTATTTTTGTCATTTATTTCTAAAATATCTTATTTGAATTAAAGGTTTTATTGTAGGTCCAAAGTAGTAGGCTAGTCACAATAATTTGGCCTTTTCTAATTATAATAGTCCTGTAAATTCGTGCTATCCGTTTCATAATTGCTTGCCGTAACAATGTCCGCACTGTTATTCATCAGTCCATTCATTTAGGTGTATTACTCAATAAAAAGATGCGTGTCCTTGTAGGAGGATGACGAATGGATGTGTAATAAAAAACGCCACCCTGGCTTTGCGCATGCGCGGTAGGATCTGTGCATTTCGCTCGGGGGCTCCGCAAGCAGCCAATAGCGACACGTTGATTTCCCCGTGACATCAGCCGCCACTCCTCTTACTAAAGAAGGAAACAAACATCTATCCAGAAGGAACGGGGCACGGAGCGAAAGAAGAGGTTGGACACGGCCAGGGGAAGCAGAGGAGCGAGACTCGGCTTTATGCTTTCTGCCTAAGGACCACAACCACACAAACATCACCAAATACGGCACAATTCATCGATCTGGCCCCAAGGCGCTGATATTATTCATCCGAGATCAAAAAGGAAGAACACCCTAGAGGCTACCATTGATTTAAAAAGGTGAACGTCCATATTTTCTCTTTTCTTCTTTTGTTTGTTCTTTGATTTCTATGGAAAATGATTGACCAGCCGTGCGTCATGGCGACCTTTCTTGGTGGACTGAAAGGTCAGGCGGTGCACACGTTTCTGGTAATGTGATCAACGCGTTTATCAGCTTTGGGTATCCGCACCAACTCTGCACTGTCATATCTTCTTTATTGGGAAGATCATGAGTCTCCAGGCGCGACAGTGTTTCGTTAAAAAGAGAAAAACAAGGGAGGGTGCTGAGCTGAGCTGGTCCTGTCTGTGCCGTGTTTGCCCAGAGCTGGGGGATGGGGAACCAAAGCCTGTTAATTCCTTGTCTAGAAATAGAAAAATCACCAACCGAAAAGCCAAGCAAACCATGTCTCGCTTTAAAACCTGCTTGAATGTCTGAAATGTAGTTTTTGATCATGGTTGTGACGCGATGTGGCACATGGATAACAAGATCAGGTCGACTCAGGGCTCTTTGACTGCCTCAATTCGATCCCTAAGCGCTAAAGAGTGATTATATAATAGAGTTTGTTCAAATGACTTCGATGATTACACTCGGAAAAGACTATTACAGAAAACGACTCGATTATAAAGGGGTAGTAAAGGGAACAGGAAGCATGGGGTTGGCAGACAAAGGACTAAAGATGAGACAAAGAGGAGAGACGACCACACAGTGTCTAGGGATTGAAAATCGTACAAACTATTGCTGTAAAGCCCTCTTTGGTTGAATTTGATCTCCTTTGTGTATCTGAAGCTTTACATTTTGCTATTGGTAAACCTGCTGTAGTCATTTAAGGCCAGCCATTGAGTGTGACTCAGTAGTTTTCAGCTCGAGCAAGGCCTGCTGAAATATGAGCTAAGCTTGTGGTTGATAAAGGAGCCTAGTCTTCCCCCTTTGTTGGCCATAGATTATCAGTCACATGGAAGGCTTCAGTTGTAAGTAATAGCCTTAAAATGGTCTAATTTCCAAAACGGCTTGATCATTTGAAATGGTGTTTATGCTTGTGGTTGTGTTGCAGGAAGTTGATAGCGGACAATTGTAGCTTAGGGCTGAGCTATGTGTGTGTTGGAAACCCCCTGACTTGCCCGACTTTTGAAGAAGATTAACCAGACTTGATGAGGGAATTAGATACCTTACCATCAAGATAGACGAGCTTTGATATAACAGGATGTAGGTTGTTTTTGTAAATCGATCTAATTAATGGAGTTTAATAATAGACATGTCCTTAGGAACGCTTGACAACTCAAAACAAGTCTAACTCACCAAAAAAAAGACAGTAGTCCACCTAAAGAGTGTCACAAGCATTGTATGACACCAGGTGGCAAACATGTCAGCTGATACTATGTCAATGGTTAACATCTGGGGTTTGCCTATCATGTTGTTTTAGTCACAATGGTTTTAATTTTTTAGGGGAAGGGGCTTTTTTGTAAGCAACCTGAGATCTAATGTACATATTTGCCGAAGAATATATACAACCACTACTACTAAATGTAATGTACTGTTTGGCTTCAAGAGCGTACTGACCACCATAATCCAAACAAAAAGCCTCTCATTCTGTACAAAATGCTGCTATTGGATATTAATGCACTTTGAATAAGTGGGTATATCATTGGTAATGTTCCAATCTATGATTTCCTTGTCTATGGCATTTCCAGTAGTCCGCAGCCGAGCATGTGACACAAAAGAGAAGGCTTTGTGGGCTTTTCCAAGGAAACCCTTTGTTGACACATCAGTGAGAGCATGCAGGGGTGAAAGGGGAGATATATGTGAGGAGGGGGCAGGTCAGAGGATTTAAAATGCACTGTTGTCTGTCATTGAGGTCAGGACACCTTGACTGAACTGACAGGACATTCTGAAATAGGCAGCAGGGAACACTAGGCTGGCCTGTTTGTCTGAGAGCGGAATACAAACGAGCTTCAGGGCAGTGTGAGGGAGCAGCTGCCGCGTTACAGCACAAGAGGACCAAAAGTTGTTTACAAGTGAAAGGCGATAGTGTACAGGCAAGATCTGTTCTCAGGTGATTTATAAAACAACCTGAGTTTCAGTGTCTGATGTAATGTGGGGTCCTTGATTAATCTAATTTCTGGTCTCTTTGTTCATCAAGTGTCTTTGTGACCCAATGAGCAGTGATTTCTTCCATTGCACAACTTCCTCTTGTATTGCACAGCTATGACTCTACGCCATCGGGCCACGCAGGCCATGTACACAATTGTTTTTTCAGAGGAAGTGTGATGCGAAGTGATGTCACAAGATACAAAGCAAGTGAACGGAGTGGCCTCTTCTCTCAAATGTGTTATAGGCCTGATAATGTTGATGATAACATAGCTGTTGACAATTGTTGGTGTACATTTATCAGTGCAGGTTGTGATAGAAAATAGTGCCAGAGAGGCATATAAGTTTCAGCTGTTCTCAGGGCTCACAAAAAGGCAGCTGGAAGATGTAATCGGGCACATAGTTATCAAAAGGGACAGTACGTGGTCTGCCAAATGTTCTGAACAGTGGCTTCTGTCTGTCTTTGATGCTTTCTCATGTGTAGTGCTCATTTCATAGCAGCAGCCAGACGGAAACCAACAGGTCCTTGTAGTCAGATTTTCATAACAAACTAACTCCTACATTATCTTGAAGGGCGTATGAGTTTCATCAGAACAGGAATGTCAAGTCTGTTTATTATATAGAACAGATTTAGCATTGGTTTAGGTGCAGAATCATAACCACTTCACATTTTTCTCCTCAGAAATGGCCCAAGAGACGAACCAGAGCCCTGTGCCCATGCTCTGTGCCACAGGTTGTGGTTTCTATGGAAACCCAAGAACCAATGGCATGTGCTCGGTTTGTTATAAGGAGCACCTGACGCGACAGCAGAGCAGCGACCGTATGAGCCCGCTCAGTCCAATGGGTGAGTTTCTGTTAATAAGTAGCAACATTATGGGACAAGATTTGTGATGTAGGAGCTCTTTGCACATCTACTCTTCCTAAGCTCACGCCCACCTCTTTGTTTTTCCTCTCATAAAAGACAGCAGTTTTTGACACTAATTTTGATTTTTGAGAAACCTCTGAGGTCAAGTCAGTTTCTCTTGTTTTAATTATAGCAACACGTTAAAACCTGTCCCACAATCACTCAGAAAAAAGGATTATAGCTTTTACAGTTATTATCACTGATTGTTTAAAATGTATGTATTCAATTTTTCATAATTTAATTGTATATTTGTACAGTTATCATATCTAGCTAGAACACTAAAGGCAGTCCAATGAAACTGTTGTGTCCATATCAAATAAATACATACATTTGCTCTGTCCAGGCTCGGCTGCTAGTGCTGCAGAGGCTTCAGCTATCCAAAGACTAGAAGCAAGTCTAGCCAAGGTTGAATCTTCGCCCACTTCATCACCAGGCATGTCTAGGTAAGTATTGTCATTTAATGTTGATTGTCTCCAAGTATTGGGTCTTATCAACATGTGCCTCCACAATGCTTGGGATATTGTAATTAAATCATTTTGTATTTGTTTTAGAACTGTTCAAGGATCTCTCCCTGTCACCCAACAAATGACAGAGATGAGTATCTCAAGAGAGGACAAAGCTGAACCATTAGAGCCTGGTAAGACTTCCTCAAAGCAAACATACACACGCCAAGGGTAAACACATGCCCGTGACTGTTCTCGTATGGCCATTTCTACGCACACTTTTAGTACCCTCCATGACCACAGATTATTTTAGATTCCATGTTGCATATGAACTGTGGGTTTTACTTACAGCCTCCAAGAAAGAGAGGCAGCCCAAAATAAACCTGTTTAAAAATACTTCTACACCAGAGGGCATTCTCACATTTGGTTCAGCCTGCCAGGAGCTTCCTGGGGGTAGTGCACAAATTTCAACAAGAATTTAAAAAAGTTTGTGACTTATGTGAGTATAATGTTGTTATTACAAAGGTACCCTGTTGCAATACACTGTTATTCCTCAAATGCTTATGGGCAAATAAGGGAATATAACAATGTTAAAAGCAGTTAGGGGATACAATTAGAAAATGTCCAATTAGACATATAATGACAAATGTTTTATCTGTTTTGCAGTCGTAAACCAGCCTGCCGCCTCTAGTCCCGCCCCTGTAGCCTCTTTGAGTAGTGACGAAAGTAATGGAGACACCCCGAAACCTAAGAAGAACCGATGCTTTATGTGCCGCAAGAGAGTGGGCCTTACAGGTGAGCATAAGTCAAGGTTGTTGTCCTTATAGGTGCACTGCACAACTTTTATGATGGGGTTCATAGATAATATTATTATCATTATTATTAATATTATTACTAAGGCATAGCTTTTATACAGCGCTTTTTTGGACTCTCAAAGACCCAATCAAACAATCACATTATATTTATAAAGTGCTTTTCATACACAAGCTGCAACACAAAGTGCTTTCCAGTTTGGTCAAATGTATGTACCAGTGTGCCATTGGCCTCTCCGGCCTCCACCAAGCATTCGTGCACACACAGACACTCATTCTCGGCAATGTGCGTGAAGTGTCTTGCCTAAGGACACACACAGTTTTCCACAGCTTAGCTTGTGGTGTTCCTAGAGGTCTCATCACAGTACTATCCAGTACCTGCCCTGTTTAGCTTCAGAGGGTTGACGGGATCTGGCTTTCGCATGCAGGTGGTGGCACCACCCTTTAATATAACATAATTTATGATTATAGTATTAATATTACCATAGAAGCCCATGACAATTAATCAACACCATAGGTCGAATGGAGTGGATTAACAGTGCTGACGCCCCCCTTAGTGTTTGCCAAATGCGGAAAAAGCCAATTTCAACATTAGCAAGCTGGAGCCAATTTTTACATTGGCACATTCTCCCCGACGGTGTTGGCTTTGCCGTAGTCAGGGCAGACATGTTGTTAAGATGGTTGCTAGGCAAGTTGGCGTTTCTCTCGCAAATGAAAGCCTCTGATTGGTCAATTCTTTTATGGCTCATATCTGGATTTACAAAGACAATATAAACAGATCATCAAAATGGTGAGCGTAACACAAAAGGCTACTGAACTAAAATGAGTATATGAATGATAATAATATAGGCCCCAGAGCGAGTTGGAGCAGGCACTTCCCTATTGGGCCTCATTGAGCTCATTATAATGTCTTTTATATTATTACATTTTAAATTTTTGTCTTTATTCTTTTATTTTAGGTTTTGACTGTCGCTGTGGCAACCTTTTCTGTGGCATCCACCGATATTCCGATAAGCACAATTGCCCCTATGACTACAAGGCTGAAGCTGCTGCCAAGATCCGTAAAGAAAATCCTGTGGTGGTGGCTGACAAGATCCAGAGAATATAAAATGTGCCGATCAAGATCACGTTGACGACCTTTGAAAAAGACTGGAGAATGAGTGTGAACCTTTTTGAGTGGCAAAGTGAATATTACATGGACTTGATTTAGAAAATTTCTCAAGAATTCAAGAAAACAACTGTGGAGAGAAGAAAAACAAAATAGATTCTTTCTGAGTTGCATGAATGATCACATTTTTCCGAATAATTAATTAGTTTATTTTATCCTATTTTCTGTGGTGTGACTTTTCCGCTGATCTATTTTTTTTATATAACATGTTTTGTCTTATTAAGAGCAGCCCAGGGTAACTTTCAAGATACGCTGTGCTACTCTCAGGCGCCATTTTGTGCCAAACCGTAGATCACCATTGTACCCAGAGCTTGCCACATGTTAAACACTGGCTCGCCTTCCATCCATAATACACCCATTGACTGTTTAAACCGATCATCTTCTACTGTGTCCGTTGGTATTGGAGTCTGTCTATGTTTGGAGAATCGTACAACTGTCCCCTACTGTGCACAAGGGGCTTTGTTACTTTGTCTTTCCTAGCTTTACCTACCTCACAGCTGCTGTGTTTTAGCATTGATGTAATCACTTTTTTCACCATAGTAGAAAATTGGATCGTTTGCAGTCCACACTTTGATCGTCAGCCTCAATGACCCTTTGATCAAAATGTCTCTGCGACATGGATCAATTTGATTGTGATGAGGCTGTTTTAAAATGGTCGAGAGGTATCTGCTAGCCAAGGACATGGACTCCAGTGTACTAAATATTCACAGTGGGCTTCATCTGTTAGTTACCTTAACCAAGATTGTATTTGAGATGCCTGGTGTAGGGTTGTGTGAACTAATGAGTGACCCAGGGGAAGGGGTAGCACCTCTGCCTGGAAGTGAGTTTAGGCTACTTTTATAAGGGGCATGAATGATTGGGATAAATGCATGAGTTAGTCTTGATCAGCGTTAGTGTTTTCGGTATAATCTATGACATTTTGCATCACTCAGCTAGACTTTAACACATTTTTATTTGCTGAAAGACAATTTTCTGTTCTATTAGCTTTTTTCCTTTTCCATTGGTATTGTACTGATGTTAGCGCATGTAATTCAGTACTTTTGTGGAATTAGGGTATGTGAACCATGTTTTATTTTTATTTTATTGCGCTAACAATGCTTGTGAGCAGAGTGTTTGAGTGGGAGTGGGGGTATTCAACTATTTTTGTTTGTGGAACTACCCGGTTTATCGGCACAGAAATACAAGAGCATGCCAGAGCTAGACTTAAGAAAATGATAATTGTAATTTCTAATTTTACAGCTCATGGTTTGTGTGTCGGTGATGGACATTATGGAGTGTATGATTCTGTGAATGCGTGTGTGAAAGTGTGTCCATGTATGTCTGTGATAGGTGTTGAACCCACTCCTCTTCCTTGTGTAAGATTTTTTTTTTTTTTTTTCATTGAAAGTGTATGTATCCGTTTGAGTTTTTTGAATCTTAGTTATATGCAAATTTGTACAAAAAATGAAAAAACAACAAACTGTGTTTATTTATGTATTACATATAATCTTGCTATCCAGCATTATGACAGAATAGTATCATGTAAATAAAACTGTACAGAGAGACATTATCATGGCTCTTTTGTTTTGTTGGTTTCTGTTGCACATTCTTAAAGGACACATTATGTAAAACTTTACTTTTTATGGGAAATGTTTTGGCTATGCCAATATCTCACCAAAGTTTATTTTGTGATTTATCCATGGATATTGCCTAATCCTGCATCATCCTGTATTAGAGGCTTCAGTGTTCCAGCAACGCAAAGTGCTTCACAGAAGGCACAAATCATCAACACAAGTAATTAAAAACATGAAACTGTTAAAATCACACAAGGGGTTAAAATAATGCATTTACTAAATTATGCATTCTTAGGATTGTCTGGTTCACTTCAGCTGGACCATTTCTGGGTCACTTGTGGTAGAAAATGCTTTATTTGTGAAACCACAAAACAAGTGAACATGTGTCCACTATTCACTTATTACACTCATTACATATTTTGAAACAGATCTGAGGAGCATTTCTTCCTCAAGTGAACCAGACCAACAAGTGTGAATGCGCATTATAGACATGTGACTGAAAGTCTGCTGCTGACGAGGAGGAAATGCAACTTTAGGGAGGTCTCTATCATGTTTGCAGTTTTGAACAGGATGTTAACTGACCTGTTTCTGTTGAGCAGTTTTAGATAATATTAGTGGAAAATTCTGAACAAACCAATTTTAAAGATCCGTGTTTGTGCCTGTAAATATTCAACACTCCCCAAAAGCATATTTCTATTCAAGTTTTATAATGAGAGCCATTCATGATACCATTATTGTATACATTTTAGGGCAGAAACATCTTTATGGAGATGTGGTTTATTATCTCCATAAATGTGCCAATAATCTTTTGTATTTTCTCCACTGTTTATTAAACCAATCTCTCTCCCTGAAAAGAAGCAGGTAACACTACTGCTGAACGCCAAGTTTCTATAATTGAATTAAAATAATGCTACAGTAATTGAATATCAGGCAATACAATATCCTGTCAGTGCCACACACCAGTAAAATTGCATGATTGTATGTGCTAGTAAGATATACTGAAATAACCATTTAATTTCAATATCAACAATGGGTCTTGAATAATGTTGACTCTTGAATATCCAGGAGCTTATTCAGCCCATTGTTCCAATGGAAGTACTTTTGCTTTTAATACCTCACCCTGCATAACCTGGCCTCTTCGACATCTGTTACAGGGTTCTGCCTCTAAATCTTGTCTGGGGTCACACAAGAAGCTGCAGCCTGATCTCAGCAAAGGATGATGCAGACATCTCATTAAAATCATCCAGTTGTGTATTTTTGAGATATGCAGCTGTTTGTTCATGGAGACTGCAGATGCTGTTGAAGTAACAATTGGCTTATTATTATAGGCCTACATATAATTTGTAACTCGTTTAATTTTTTAATTAAGTTTGGATTGCGTTTGAGCGTGCTACAATAACTATGATAAACAATAGAAAAACAATCTCAACTCTATAGACTATAACTCTTTTCCATGGACTATATAGTCTATGGAAAATGAGTTGCGTTTTTACTGTAAGATCTGTTTCTTCAACTTATGTTTGGCCAGTACGAGCATTGAGATTTAAAAATGCATAGAGAAATGACCACAACCTCGATCCAAAACTCCATGGGACAACATTTGCATGGAAAAGCCCCATTACATGATGTCTTGCATGATACAGCCACAAGCTGCAACAACTGTAACAACACCGTAATAAACAAAATAAATTAGTTATTAGCTTATCTTTTAGGGTAAAAAGGAACAATATTATGTTCAGACAATAAAGCAGACCAAATGATAGTATTTTCATAGAATGAAAATAAATACAAAAAGGATCTGTTTTCTTGACTTGAATCTGTGTACTTAGATCTATAAAGTTTTGGTGCAGACTTTGAGGCTTGAGCTCATGTTACTTGATTTTTCCACACAAAAATAAATTGGTATGTTGGTCATTAATAATATCAGCATAACACTGTTTCAAGTGTATATGACAGGTTAGACTTTACCTTTCACAAGATGATCATATTCAAGAATTGTGTAATGATTTCCAAAATGTAATTCCAATTTGATAATATTTTTAGTGTATAGTAATTTGACAAAACTCCTTCAATGTCTAGAGAAAGTATATTTTGATAAACAAAATTGCATGTCATCAGTTATACTGATATATTTCCTGTAAATGTCATGTATTCCCAAACTGCAGGTTTTTAATTCTAAAACGACTGTATATAAAAATGCGTCAAGTCATACAGTTAACTTGCACATCTGACTTTAAACACTAGGAGGCGCTACACTTCCCCACTCATCCACACTCACCTTTGACTCCGGAATAGAAAGACTTCCGCACTGGGCGCTTGTTGTGGCTCGTGTGGTGCCTTTGTAACGTAAAGAAAACGCACTTCGAGAAACAAAAGTTGTATCAACACCGGGAAACGCGTCTGCGTCTCAAACTAATGCTCGTTTATAGATCACTATAACCACAGGGCGTTTGTACTGAGAGAGCGGCGTCTTATGAGCTGAAGCTGACGGACTAAAGTCGCAGCCATGGCGGACGTAACTGCGCGTAACTTGCAGTACGAGTACAAAGCGGTAAGTACACCTTTGAATGAACCTGCATTAAATAATTGGTTAGGTAGCTCGTAATTACACCGGTCACCAAAAATGATCGAAGTCAAATAAACAAAATGTATATGGTAGCAGGTAGACGCGTTATTATAATAGATCCATGGGCCCTAGAGAGGTTAAGTCGTCGCCGTCTCTAGTTTGAAGATCAAACTATTTTGTGTTAGCTAACTGTTCCAATGTACGCATAGAAATATCATCAAAGCATTGTACATGTGAATCTTTAACCATCCATCCATTTTCTTCCCCTTAATCCATTTCTGGGTCGGGGGGTGGCAATCAGATCCATCCATTTTCTACCCTTTTAATCCATTTCCACCCAAGTCTCATAGCACCAGCCCCTCACTGATCCTCTGCAGGTGGTGAGTCCACAGGAGGACGGCTGCTCTCTGAGTGTGAGCATAGCCTTGATCTTTCAGTGGGAGCTTTTGGGCAAAGTGGGGTTAAGTGTCTTGCCCAAGGACACAACGACAGCAGTCATCAGTGGGAGTCGGTGGAGAAGGTGCAGAGGTGGGAATTGAACCCACGACCTTCTGGGCTTAAGGCCAATGCTCTACCAACTGAGCTACTGTCGCCCCTGAATCTTTAACCACTTGGGTTAATCTGGTGTAGATGAGTGCAGTACTTTACCCATCATTTAATCTACAAACGTAGCTATTCAAAATTGTTTTGAACATTGTTGGGAAATCATCCAGGTAGTATCTAATAATTCATGTGGCATAAATGAAAATGTTCTACCCTGGAATAACTAAACGTGGTCATAAAATAACTTGAAATATAATGATTAATTAACTGTTTAACAT